GACTGAGATGTTATCTCTACGCAGATGATGTCCAGATCTGTCACTCCTTCTCACCTGTCACCAAGGAGGCTGTCCAGACCTTGAATCGGTGTCTAGCTGCTGTGTCGGACTGGATGAGAGCTAACAAATTGAAACTGAATCCAGACAAGACAGAGGTCCTACTGGTCAGTCGTAAGGCCGAACAGGGTATAGGGTTACAGCCTGTGTTGGATGGGGTTACACTCCCCCTGAAGACTCAGGTTCGCAGCTTGGGAGTGATCCTGGACTCATCGCTGAGCCTGGAACCCCAGGTCTCAGCGGTGGCCGGGAGAGCTTTTGCGCAATTAAAACTTGTGCACCAGTTGCGCCCGTACCTTGGGAAGTCTGATCTGGCCACGGTGGTCCACGCTCTTGTTACATCCCGTATAGACTACTGCAACACTCTTTACGTGGGGTTGCCCTTGAAGACTCCGAACAGTCTTCAAGGGCAACCCCACGTAGAGAGTGTTGCAGTAGAGAGGTCTCGACGAGTTGAAGTTTCCGAACTTCAACTCGTCCAACGAGCGGCGGCTAGATTGCTCACCGGAGCGACATACAGGGAGCATACCACCCCCCTGCTTTGCCAACTCCACTGGCTGCCGATTCAGTTCCGAGCACAATTCAAGGTGCTGGTTTTGACCTACAAAACCCTTTACGGTTCCGGTCCAGTGTATCTGTCTGAACATATCTCCCTCTACGTCCCACCCCAGAATTTGAGATCATCTGGGGTGGCCCTGCTCTCGACCCCACCACTATCACAAGTGAGGCTGGTGGGGACGAGGAGCAGGGCTTTCTCAGTGGTGGCCCCTCATCTGTGGAACTCTCTCCCGGGGGAAATCAGGGCATCATCATCCCTCCTCGCCTTTAGGAGGAGGGTGAAGACGTGGTTATGGGACCAGGCCTTTGGGCACTCTGGCAATTAAATTAGACAATCAGCAAGTAAGACCAACAGGACTGATGAAAGGGAACACAGAACTAGATCTATGAGTTAGCGAACGCTGACCATGGAAGAGGAGAAATTGGGTTTGTATAAGTTTTATTGATTTTAGTAATTTTATGTTTATAATGCATGAACTGTTATTAATTGCGAATTGTTGTAATTGTGTGTATGATTGTTTTTATGATGCAGGCATCGAATTGTGCCTTCGCCTCTGTAAGCCGCCCTGAGTCCCCTTCGGGGTGAGAAGGGCGGGGTAGAAGAACCCCAAATAAATAAATAATATCTTAATTACAAACATTTTGCTCATTTGAAGGGTATAATATATGGAAAGGGACTGATAACACTGGGAATATTGGGTTAAATGGACACAGATCTGACAAACTTCAGTCCTTGATCAAGGAAATGCCAAAGGAAGACCACAAAGGCAAAGAGTGAATTGAATTATATTCACAAATTTCAATCCATTGGCAGAGATATGAGCAACAGCAATCCCTTCATGTATTAAAATAAGATTCCTTACTACTGCACATACAATACAATACAGTTAATATTTTTAGAGAGTTTTCAACACAGGGACACTGACTTTTGGATGTATTGCTTCCCAACATCAACACTAACCTATCATTCCCAAGACCTGAAAGACCTGTATCACCTTGCCAAGCCCTTTGAACACTTAGAAAAAAGGACATGGTTTAGAAAAGGGAACATCTTTCCAGATCTTATTACATCCTATCCAACTCCCACAACTTTAAAAATATGCTTTAATATCCGAGGCTTTAATATAACTCTGTAATGAGAGTGTAAGTATATGTGTTAGAATAATATACAGGCAGTCGCCAAGTTCCAAACAGTATAGGTTCTGTAGATTTTTTTCCTTAAGTTGAATTTGTATGTAAGTCGAAACAGGTACATTTTTAAAGTGTAACTCCAGCCAAATATGTGTGTGTGTGTGTGTGTGTGTGTGCGCGTGTGTGTGTGCGTGTGTGTGTGTGTAGCTTCAAAGCCTGGCTGATTGCTGCCTGGGGGATCTTTTGTTGGGAGGTGCAATCAGCCAGGCTTTGAAGCAACAAAGCCATTAAATGCTAATCAATTTGGCTGATGGCAACATTAACACTTGCTTCAAACAGACATGAGTTCTTTCTCCCACCCTGGACATTTCACAGATATAGAAACCCCACTTTCCTAGTTTCCAAGAGACCTCACAACCTCTGAGGACGCCTGCCATAGATGTGGGCAAAATGACAGGAGAGAATGCTTCTGGAACATGGCCATACAGCCTGGAAAACTCACTGGTGAAAGCCATATTCTGAAAAGTCAAGATTCATATCCCTGTTCACTCAGCAAGTCCCATTCTCTCAGCCTTAGAGATTGGTAATGGGAGACGTCTTCTGAATAAATCTTGTCAAAGGAACCCTAGGCTAAGGTTACTATAGTTGTGAGTCAACGCAAAGGAACATAACAACAACAAAATAAAACCCTTTGAGTAATCTTATACTACCTTTTTATACATTGTTCCAAAACAGGAAATTCATTACGGAAAAAATAAGAAGAGGATATAACTTCACATAAAATTAATATGTGCTTGAGGGTAAAAATTGAAATAATTTCAATAGCTTCAACTGCAATCGAATTTTAATAGTTTCAATTGAAATTAAGATTAAATATATACTTTCCCTAGTTAGACAAATTGTAAAACAGGAGCTTGCTCTTTGTGTTGTCCAGGTGCTGGCGACTCAAGGGCAACTTCAAGCCCTCTCTTTGGACCTTTATCTTTAGAGTAATGTATTTGGAATGACCAGACTATCAGATAATAAGATTCCCTTGTTTTAAAAAATTAAAATAATATGTTTTAAAGATTATACCTCAGCCATTTGATGTAATTAGTTAATTAATTTGGGGAGATGAATGTCAATAATATTTATTTAATCAATCTGAGTGATAAATCCGGAATAGTATCTGTTCCTGGTTTGTATTTCACGTAGTCATTGCTGCTGTTTACAACCATTTCTCCACACAATAACATGCACAAAAGTCCTTTCTCACATTAAGCATCCTATAACTTCATGCAAGACAATCACACAGGATTAATATGCTAATGGCATTAACAAATTATTTATTCCCTCAGTAGACAATCGTTTGTATATTTTAATTTGCATTTGTAAAAGTAACCATAAAGGCAGGAGAGTTGGCAATTGTTGCCTGTGAATTAATCAGGAACAAAGGGATGTCTGTGGAATTGTTTGGAAGCAGTTTCAGGTGAATTTAGGGTGCATCTACACCAGGTATGGGCAAACTTTGGCCCTCCAGGTGTTTTGGACTTCAACTCCCACAATTCCTAACAGCCTACCTGCCAAAGTTTGCCCATGCCTGATCTACACTGCAGAACTAATGCAGTTTGACACCGCTTTAACTGCAATGGCTCAATGCTATGGAATCGTAAGAATTGTAGTTTTGCAAGGTCTTTAGGCTCCTCTGCCAAAGAGTGCTGGTGCTCCACCAAACTCCCATGCCCATGATTCCCATGGTAGTGAGCCATGGCAGTTAAAGTGGTGTTAACGTGCATTAATTCTATAGTGTAGATCAGGCATGGGCAAACTTCGGATGCTTTGGAGTTCAACTTCCTACCAGCCTACAAGCTGGAGGGCCGAAGTTTAACCATTTTTTTGTCGTGTCAGTAGCAACTTAAGAAACTGAAAATCGCTTCTGGTGTGAGAGAATTGGCCGTCTGCAAGGACGTTGCCCAGGGGATGCCCAGATGATTTGATGCTTTATTGTCCTTGTGGGAGGCTTCTCTCATGTCCCTGCATGAGGAGCTGGAGCTGACAGAGGGAGCTCATCCGCGCTCTCCCCAGATTCGAACCTGCAACCTGTCGGTTTTCAGTCCTGCACAAGGGTTTAACCCACTGCGCCACCGGGGGCTCAGTTTAACCATGCCTGGTGTAGATAAGTCCATGAAAGATGTGTTAGTTTGAAGGTCAGGAGAAATCTTAATTGTTTTTGTGACAGGAGTCATGTTGCTACCACCACCACCACCACCACTCCTGATTAATAGTGGCATGTGCATTTTACCTACATAGGTCATGTTCCAGAAGCATTCTTCTCTTACGTTTCACCCACATCTATGGCAGGCATCCTCAGAGGTTGTGAGGTCTGTTGGAAATTAGGCAAGTGGGGTTTATATATCTTTGGAATGGGTTGTTGTAAGTTTTTCGGGCTGTATGGCCATGTTCCAGAAGCATTCTATCCTGACGCTTCGCCTACATCTATAGCAGGCATAGATGCAGACGAAACGTCAGGAGAGAATGCTTCTGGAACATGGCCATACAACCCAAAAAACTTACAACAACCCAGTGATTCTGGTCATGAAAGCCTTCGACAATATATCTGTGGAACGTCCAGGGTGGGAGAAAGAACTCTTGTCTGTTTGAGGCAAGCATGAATGTTACAATTGGCCAGCTTGATTATTATTGAAAAGCCTTGCAGCTTCAAAGCCTGGCTGCTTCTTGCCGGGGGGAAATCCTTTGTTGAGATGTGTTAGCTGCCCCTGATTGTTTCCTGTCTGGATTTCCCATTTTCTGAGTGTTGCACTTTATTTAATATCCTGATTTTAGAGTTTTTTAAATACCACTAGGCAGATTTTGTTCATTTTCATACTTTCCTCTTTTCTGTTGAAATTGTCCACATGCTTGTGGATTTCAGTGGCTTTTCTGTGTAGCCTGACATGGTGGTTGTTCCTACCGGCTGTTAGGAATTGTGGGATTTGAAGTCCAAAACACCTGGAGGGCCAACGTTTGCCCATGCAACCAATAAAACATTTAAAACTTTGTTTTATTTACCATTTTGCAGCAGAAAGGGGTTAACAAAGCAACCAAAGGAGAAAGTGTGAGTAGCAGGAAAAATATATCTGTTAAGACACAGAGGTGATTTCACTTGCCAGAATTTAATCAGAATCTAGAGGCATTATCAGAATCTGCAGGCATTATTCTCCCCATCTGTTTTCTTTGTGCTTGGATGAGCAGGGACTCTTAGTTTGAAATGAGCCTATGACTCAGCCACTGGGTTCAGATGGGGGTGGAGAGTATGTATGTACAAGAGGAGCTCTGCTGCACAAACAATTTTCACTGTCAGCTCTTCTGCTGCTTGGGTTTGTCCAGTTTTCCCATTAAAGGTAAGTTTTAAGATTTATTTATCCTTGTCTCAGATAGACTTGAGAATTAGGGGAATGGAGTGTTTTTAATTAGTCCTCCAAACAAATGCATTTTGGGAGCAGCAACTGGATTCCAAGAATAGGGCTTGACATTAAGTAGGCCAAGGTTTCAAGTGCGCCTAGTTTGTCATTATGTATGTATACATTTTTCAATACATCTAGAGAAAAATGTGTTTTGAAAACCAACCTCTGATTTTGCTGGAAGGTCAAATGCAGATTATATAACACAGATGTGTACAAAATTTCAGTATGAGATCCTTAAATGAATACTTCTAAAGCTTCAGTTTACAAAGGCAGAATCATTGTTTTAGTGCATAGGTATATTACAGGTTAGACTCTCAGTTAACTGGCATCCACGAGGATTGATAGGTGCAACATAAATGTAATGTCTGGTTGCTTGAGAGTTACTATTAAAAGAGGCCTAACTAATACTACATATACCCCATACTATAAATTCTGTATTGACTTGATATTAATATTGAAATACACTCATTAAAAACGAATTGAGACCAATAATAATAGTAATAATAATAATAATAATAATAATAATGTTTTTATGTATTTCCTGTCTCTCTTCATGGCTCAAGGTGGAGTACAACATACTTAAAATACACAGTTAAAGACAAACTTAGGGCCCTTCCAGACAGGCCCTATATCCCATAATCTGATCCCAGGTTTTCTGCTTTAAACTGGATTATTTGAGTCCCCATTGCCTGATAATCCGGGGTAAACAGAAAACCTGGGATATAAGGGCCTGTCTGGAAGGGCCCATATTGTAACACAGTTTTACTGTAGAGTATTACAAAAATAAATATATTTAGAGTATTATTTCTTTGATTTTGTTGAAATTTTTTTTGCTAGTTACTTGCTAAGAGTTCTGGTTAACTGAGCATTTATTGTATATATATATTCAGAATTCTGTTTGAAGGAAGCCAACTTTCTATGTTTAATGTTGCTCTCTGAGTAGCAGGAACCCTAACCCTAAACATTTGTTACAACTGAATATTTTTGCATTTTTTAAATATACTAAATGAGTGTTTTCCTTTTTGAAAACATAGAAGCTCTGTCAAGTCAAGACGTTGTAGTGCTGCGAAGTGTTTTAGGCATGTTAATAGGCTTTCAATGGTTTTAAAGGTTTTAACTGTTTATTTTTAATACGTCCAGTGTCCAGTGTTTAATCCTCTTTTAATGTTTGTATGTTGTTAGGTTTGAAGTAACATTCTGTTTTTAAAGTTAGCAGCTTTGAGTCACTTTTTAGAGAGATAAAGCAGGATAGAAATAATACTAATAATAATAATAATAATAATAATAATAATAATAATAATAATAATAGGGTTGTTGTACGTTTTCCGGGCTGTATGGCCATGTTTCAGAAGAATTCTCTCCTGACGTTTTGCCCACATCTACAGCAGGCATCCTCAGAAGTTGTGGGGTCTGTTGGAAACTAAGTGGAATAGCCAGGGTGGGAGAAAGAACTCTTGTCTGTTTGAGGCAGGTCTGAAGGTTGCAATTGGCCACCTTGATTAACATTGAATTGCCTTGTTAATCAACAAAGCTAATCAAGCTGGCCAATTGCAATATTTACACTTGTCCCAAACAGATAAGAGTTCTTTCCCCCACCCTGGACATTCCACAGATATATAAACCCCACTTGCCAAGTTTCCAACAGGTCTCACAACCTCTGAGGATGCCTGCCATAGATGTGGGCAAAAAGTCAGGAAAGAATGCTTCTGGAACATGGCCATACAACCTAGAAAACTCATAGCAACTCAGTGATTCTGACCATGAAAGCCTTTGACAATACTCCCTTGCTTAGTTTCCAATATACCTCACAACCTCTGAGGATGTGGGTGAAACGTCAGGAGAGAATGCTTCTGGAACATGGCCATACAGCCTGGAAAACTCACAGCAACCCATGAAAGCCTTCAACAACATGATGATGATGATGATGATGATAACATGTGTTGGACTTGCTGTTCCCATTGATTGCTTTACAGACGTTGTTGTTGTTTACCTTCAAGTTGTTTCTGATCCCGGCAAACCATAAGGCAATCCCTATATCTTTGCATACTTTCAAATGATTCCAACGTTCTTCTTACATTATATTGATGACAACATGTGATAAAAAGCAATGTGAAACTCAAATATAGCAAATATTTTCATTTTTGCTGACTGTTTTACAGTATTCAGCAATTCTTTTAAAACTAGAAAGAGTTTTGTCTAATTTTCAGACACTATAATCTTCACTGCAGTAATGAGATGCAACAATTAATTTTTTGGAAAGTTTCTTCCCATGATTTATTTCAAACTGGTATTTCCTGTTTTTCTATCCCTCAAACACAACCACTCATTCACATAAATACGGGAAAATAAAACCAGCTTACTGAAGTACTATTTATCAAAAAGCCATAGTGCTAAAATAAATAAATAAATAAATCCAGAAACCCTATAACAATGGTTCTCAACCTGTGGGTCCCCAGGTGTTTTGGCCTTCAACTCCCAGAAATCCTAACAGCTGGTAAACTGGCTGGGATTTCTGGGAGTTGTAGGCCAAAACACCTGGGGACCCACAAGCTGAGAACCACTGCCCTGCAAGAGAGACAAGCAGCAACAGTGCCTAATCACACTGATCTTGGTTGAGTTGGCAAAGTTTGCAGCGGAATAAAAATGGAATCAATCAATGAGCCAATCAACCAATCAATGGATGATATACTGTTAATTTGTCATGCCTCATTGATCTCTTGGCATTTGCTAGCTCTGAGGTGAGTTCTAGTACATTTAGTGATATATTAAAATACAGTAGACTCTCAGTTAACCGAAATACAAGCAATTGGAAAAAAAACCCAGGATAAATAATACTTTAAATAAATATTAAAATAAAATCGTTTTAGCAGAATCATAAAATTATTGAGTTGGAAGAGATCTCATGGGCCATCTAGTCAAATCTCCTGCCAAGAAGCAGGAAAATTGCATTCAAAGCACCCCTGACAGATGGCCATCCAGCCTCTGCTTAAACAAAGCTACTTTTATAATAATTTGAATACTGGTGTGTGTGGGGTGGGTGGTGGTGGTAATTTTTCATTTGGGAGTTGTAGTTGCTGGGATTTATAGTTCGCCTAAAATCTAAGACCATTTTGAACTCCAATAACGATGGAATTGGGCCAAACTTGGCACGCAGAACTCCCATGATCAACAGAAAATACTGGAAGGGTTTGGTGGGCATTGACCTTGAGTTTTGGAGTTCTGGTTCACCTACATCCAGAGAGTACTGTGGAGTCAAACAATGATGGATCTGGACAAAAGTTGGCACAAATACTCAATATACCCAAAGGTGAACACTGGTGGAGTTTGGGGGGAAATTGATCTCTGGTTGTGGTTGCTGGGATTGATAGTTCACCTACAATCACAGAGCATTCTGAACTCCACCAATGATAGAATTGGGTCAAACTCACCACACAGAATCCCCATCACCAACAGAAAATACTGTGTTTTCTGATGGTCTTTGGTGACCCACCTGATGCTCCTTCGTGACCCCCCCCCCATGGGTCCCAATCCCCAGGTTGAGAAACACTTTCTTGTTGCATTATCTTAAATGTGCATTAATTCCATAGTGCAGATCAGGTATGTGGGAGTTGAAATTCAAAACATCTGGAGGGACCAAGTTTTTCCATGACCTTGTGTAGATGCACCCCGAAAGTACAAAATGGTTAGTATAGCTTTTGCAGAATGAAGTTTTGCACCACTTTCTGCCATGGCTCAATTCTTTGGAATCATGGGATCTGTCGTTTGGAAGCACAAGCATACTTTGGCTTTGTTGTTCATTCGTTCAGTCGTCTCCGACTCTTCGTGACCTCATGGACCAGCCCACGCCAGAGCTCCCTGTCGGCCGTCACCACCCCCAGCTCCTTCAAGGTCAGTCCAGTCACTTCAAGGATGCCATCCATCCATCTTGCCCTTGGTCGTCCCCTCTTCCTTTTGCCTTCCACTTTCCCCAGCATAATTGTCTTCTCTAGGCTTTGCTGTCTCCTCATGATGTGGCCAAAGTACTTCAACTTTACTTTGGCAGGGAAGGCTAAATGCCATGTAAAACTGCTACTCCCATAATCTCTTAGCTTTGAGCCATGGTGGCAAACTGCATTCACTCTGCAGTCCAGATGCATCCTAAGACTACTTCCTCAGAATTACAAATGCTTGTGCTACAAACTTATCTCTCTCAGTTTCTAAGGTGCTATATGAGATCCCATTGTATTCTGAGATTGCAACATGATATCCAAAACTATGTTAATGATGTAGAACGAAATTGTCTAAATTACCTCATCCATTTCTCACTGGAGATAAAGTCAAGGACACCAACCCAACACTGAGAAAGTCGCCTGAACAAAACAGGCTCAGAATGCAGAGCTTTCCCCCCCTTTCCATCTGAAGCACTCTGTACTTTTCCCATTCCTTTCAAGGAAAGGCCTTGGAATTGCGTCTGTGATAGAGGGGTAGGATTGCAACAGGACGGAAAATTCAGGGTTCATCTACACTGCAGAGTTAATGCAGTTTCACTTAACTTTAACTGCCATGGCTTAATGCAATTTTTTATAGTGTCAGAAGTGACTTGAGAAATTGCAAGTCGCTTCTGGTGTGAGAGAATTGGCTGTCTGCAAGGGTGTTGCCCAGGAGATGCCCGGATGTGTTACCATCCTGTGGGAGGCTTCACTCATGTCTCCGCATTGGAAGCTGGGGCTGACAGACAAGAGCTCACCTTGTCTTGTGGATTTGAACTGCTGACCTTCAGGTCAGCAGTTCAGCCAACACAAGGGTTTAACCCATTGTGCCACCATGGCTCCTGCTTAATACAATGGAATTGTGGGAGTAATAATTTAGTGAGGCACAAACTCTCTTTGGCAGAGGAGGCTAAATACCTTATAAAAGTACAACTCCCATGATTTTGTAGTCAAAGTGGTGCCAAACTGCATCCATTCTGCAGTGTAGATGCACCCTCAGAAGAAATCAGGCACAGATGAGCTGCCCTTAGGAGAGCTTTGTAGATGGAGGAAGGATACAGTTAGGAGAAAGGGGTGAGAAAAGTCAACTGCTTAAGCAGCTTCTACTCACAAACCTCTCAAGTCTGGGTCCAAGCCTATATAAGTTGCAAACCTACACCAAATCTTGATAGAAAAATATTATTTTTTGGTTAAAACTGGCCAAGTGTCCCTCTTAATGTTCTCAATGGAGCGGGGGAGATTGTTTAGTGAGAAGAGAGTATAATAAATTTGTACTGAGGTAAACAAACTATTTTAGGATTTCTCGACTTTCCTAAGGAGAAGCTCTGTTTATCTGTGGCAGGAAAAAACCACAAGAATGTGTATGGCCCCATTAAAAATAAGTTTAAGTTTTATATGGACTGAGGCCCATTCTACCAGATGCATCTGACAAAGTGGGCGGGAATCCATGAAAACATAGGTTAAAAAAAACCTTGTTAGTCTTCAGAAGTGTTGCAAGTCTCTGGGGATACATCTGCATTGCAGAATTAATGCAGTTTGACTCCACTTTAACTTCCAGGGCTCAACACTATGGAATCCTGGGATTCTAGTTTACTTACTTAGGCAATCCCTCATTGTCCAAGTATGATGACCTTGCAAGTGTAGTCTTGGCAGTGGATCTGTAGGTAACTGTGGAGCCCTATTCTTGATCTGCATGTTCTTCCACAGTGAGGACATCAGTTTCCAGGTGGAATGTGGTCCCGGTCAAGGGTAGCTTGACGTGCCTTCCTCTTGGCACGTTACTCCCTTTCACCCTCCATTCGTGCCTCTCCAAATTCCTCAGCACTGCTGGTCACAGCTGACCTCCAGTTAGAGTGCTCAAGGGCCAGGGCTTCCCAGTTCTCTGTGCCTATGCCACAGTTTTAAAGGTTGGCTTTAAGCCCATCTTTAAATCTCTTTTCCTGTCCGCCAACATTCTGTTTTCCATTCTTGAGTTGGGAGTATAGTAACTGCTTTCGGAGACAGTAATTGGGCATTTGGACAATGTGGCACCAAAACTCTCTTTTTGTGTTATTATTTTCATTAGAGCTAGTTTTCATGTGTTTCTTGGTTCCCTGGCAAGAACAATTTAATATGATATTATTTAATAGAAATACAAAAGATCTTATTTAATAAAAATATTGATATTCTTTGGATATTTAGAAACAGTAAACAATCCATGCTGTTTTCCTCTGTAGTCCTCTTAGGCTGATTCTGAATTGCATTATATGGTCCATATCGAACTATATAATGCAGTTATTTGGCAGTGTAGAACTTGCTTTAGACACAATTTCCTATTGTGAGTCCATATACACACACACATACTAATACATCAGAGCTCATTGGCCAAAAATAGCCCAGGTGCAGTTAAGACTAGTTCTCTTGCTGTTGATGTCAAGCAGGGATAAGAGACATGATTACTGGAGTAGGAAATTCAGGGATATAGAGCACGTCATTAGATGAAAATCCATTGCAAGCCACATATGTTTTCTGTTCCAGACAGTAAATGTTGTGATTGTTTCAAAACAAACTGGTGGCGTTCAGATGGAAACCTCTAACTCCACCCACTTCCCCCAGTGAATGCTACCTGTAGTTGGGCTATAATGTTAAGATTCTATTTAGGAAACTGGATTAATTTTAAAATGAGGATATGTTAGCTCTATAATTAGGCGTCTAGCTATGTGGTTGCTTTTACAATTGTTTGTATTGAAACTGCTCAGAGGAGTCCTGTTGCCAGAATCTGAAAATGTCCACTCCAAAATGATGAATTCACTCATTCATCCGCACCACAAAGGGGGAGGGGGGAGGAGTTTGTTTGAATACATTAAGAGTTGGTGTCTCGTAGTTTATTTTGTGGATCAGTTGCCCTTTGTGCTATTTCCTGGCACAGAAATAGGGAAGGAACGGGATGTTTGTGGTTTTGAGTTCCTTGCTGAAATGATCAATTTCACACTTCTTTAGATTTCTGCTGAGAAAAAGCATACTCTTCCTGTGAAATTTGTATATTTGTAGGACATTTTTCTGCTGTGCCATCAAAACTCAGAGGATGACCTTGGACAAATCATGCATTCTTAGGCTCCATCTACACTGAGCATTTAATGCAGTTTAAAACTAGCTTCAAACTATGGCAGATAGACAACAAACTCCCACAAAAGCTCACAAAAGAAAGCCCATAATGCGCACCAGCATTCTGTGGTTTGTGTAGTCACAAGAATAATAATAACAATAATAATAATAATACAGTGTATTTATATTCTTCTTTATCTCCTCGGAGGGACTCAGAGCAGATTACAGTATACACATATAAGGCAAACATTCAATGCCATTTACACAGTGAACAACAATGACATACCATACACAGACAAAGGTAAAGGCCTTCCCCTTTTCATCACCAGCATCTGGAGGTGATGCTCAACTCCGGCCATGGGGAGGTGCTGTTGTTCCATTTTGCCATGCTGAGGAGCCTGTTGTCCATAGACATCTCCAATTGTGTTTACCAACATGTCTGCATGGAGCATCCTTTTACCTTTCCACCGAGGTGTTACCTACTGATCTACTCGCATTGCATGCTTTCAAATAGCTAGGTAGTCAGAAGCTAGGGCCAACAGCAGGAGCTTACCTCAACACACGACTTCAAACTGCCAACCCTCCAGTCAGCAGATTTCCTTCAGGTAGCGGTTTAAACTGCTTTGCTACTGCGGCCCCATCTGGACCTCAGACTGGTTCCAGGATTTCTCATGTAATTATCGACATTATAAAGCCATTTTGTTCAATGCTTTAAATTGCATTACATGATCGGGGGGGGGGGGCATCTGTCCCAGAACATGCCATGATAGGTTCTCCTTAAAGGAGCTGGGGGTGGCCACAGCTGACAGAGAGCTCTTGTGTGGGCTGGTCCATTAGGTCACAAAGATTTGGAAGCGACTGAATGAATAAACAACAACAATCCCAGATTATCTGACAGTGTAGACTTGTATAATCCAGTTCAAAGCAATTAATCTGGGATCCGATCCTGGGCTATAGGGCAGTGTAGATCCAGCCTCAGTACAATAAATCCAGATTACACTGAGAGGGGTTTCCCCTCCAGATCTAACCCTCATTATATTATCTTTCACTTAACAGAACCTTCAGATAGACTGTCAGAGTGATTTACGGATAACCCAAATGAGTGCTAATCATCATGCCAATGGGATGGAGAAGTCAAGCGATCAAGAATCTCTGCAGTTGACCGAAAACCTTACTACCAGTACTACCCATGATCTGGGGGAAGGCAAGTCAAAACAGAGCAGCCACACTCTTACTATTTCTTCACAATTCAGAAATCACGGTAAGGTCAAAGAGTGTATCTTTTACTTGAAATGTGGAGCATGGAACTCAGTGCTATGTTTATATTTTGAAATCAAACTACAAGCTGGCCATAAATACGTGGAACAGTAAACCAAGATTATAGTGCATCCTTTCTTAAGGCTGCTTGCACAATGACCTAAACAAACCAGAAACAATGTGTTTATCAAGCCAACCAAACAGGGAATTATGGCTTGTTGCGATCTCTATGAAATCTGACTTGTTTGGAGAGGGAGAAAACATCATTTGGGATCCTGAGCTTGTTTGGCATTTTTGATTTGTTTAGGAATTCATGTTAATAGGACCAAGCTTTTATTGGGTCTCTCCTGCGACCCACTGGCGCCCTGGCCACTCCCAAACCCCAGCTGCCTTCCACATACCTCTCCCATGGTGTGGACCTAAAATAGTCCCATTACTGAAATGTCAGCATTATATTTGAAATGTGCTAAAAGATATTTTTATGGATTGCTGAAAAAAAAACCAGAATATTTGCAACACCCTAAATATAAATACATTTAATGGACTCCAGCCCACTTAATTGGAATGCAGGGCCCATATATAGGACGATGTTTTCATTATTATCGTATATACTCAAGTATAAGCCAAATTTTTCAGCCCTTTTTAAGTCTGAAAAAGCTCCTTTCAGCTTATACGTGAATATAGGTTATTTATTATTTTACTGTATTGTTATTATTATTATTGTACTCTATTATTGTTGTTACATTTATTATTTTATTCTATTATTATTTTACTCTTTTATTATTATTACATTTATTATTTTACTCTATTATTATTGGAAGGATACATAAGCAATTTACATTGAAGAAGGTTAGAATAATGGTTTAATCAGAGTTGGACAGTCTTATTAAATGACAGTTTTACGTAAATATTCAAAAACATTTAACTTACTGATGTCTCAATTAATGTAATTTTATTGGTATCTATTTTTATTTTGAAATTTACCAGTAGCTGCTGCATTTCCCACTCCCGGCTTATACTCAAGTCAATACGCTTTCCCTGTTTTTTGTGGTAAAATTAGGTCGCTCAGTTTATATTCGGGTCATCTTATACTTTATATACGGTGCTCCATAAAGCTTAATACAAAAGAAAATGTCTTTAAACTGCCAGAAGATTCTTTTCTTCCAGCTACAACAAACAAACTCAGCAAACCCTATGAGAATGAGTACATTATAATACTGTACTGTGTTCACTTGTGAATCAATTTGAATACAATTTCAATAAAAGTCTAGTCTAACATATTGGGAATGGATAGGGATATTTATTCTGCATGAGAACTTTTTTCCAATGCCAGTTTGAAGCTTTCAGAGCTAGTGGATGGGATTTAATTTGGGCCTATAGAAAAGAGGGGAAAGGGTTAAAAAGAACCACTTTCCCCCCATTATGATCCTGATCCTCCTTGCCCTTAAGACATGCACACAAGGTTTCTATTTAAATCCAAAACAAGTTGTATATTCAGTCTAGTTTGGAAGTGAATGTTGTAGCTGGGGACACAGACCTGTTTGACATCATCTCACTTGTTAGATGACATGCTACCCTTTCAAGGAGCATCTGACTTTGATTCAGGCTGGCCCAATAGTTCATGAAAAGCAAACTGTATTCATTATTTGCCTCAGACATGAGTCCCAGAGATTTTCTGTATGTAATTATAGAACATTACTGTCACAGTAGATGTAGCCAATGACAAGATTGGATCACAATTCTGTCCTCTATTTGCTCTCAGTTCAGGATAATACTGTGACCTGTGATGCCAGCAGTTTGTACATTTGGATCGATAAGCACATACATGTGCATGAACTGATCATAAACTTACACATATAATTCACTTGGCATCAACAGCAGGGTGGAAATATATCAAGGATTTTTTAATCATTTTTTTTAGGTTTGCTAAGTCAATACAATGCCTCTTCTTCATGTCAGACTGTTACGTGTTTGAATGTTTATTTCGAATTATAGATTAGGATTGGTTTGGTTTGGTTTTTAAAAAGAGAATGAATCATGCCGATTTCTCAATTGCTGCTTGTGTCTGCTCTGTTTAGACACAGAGCGCAGATACTCCTCCCATCCAGGAAGTCCACAATGTTCAAATAATCCTGAAGAAGCTCAAGGCATTTTCTTCCAAGCAGGGGGTAAAAGAAACCAAGACTACTATACTACCCAGGACCAATTTGGACACAGTTGCAACGGCATGAACACCGCTCCACAGTTCCAAGCACCAGAGAAAGTGACTCTTGTCGTGGATGGCACTAGATTTGTTGTAAATCCCCAGGTTTTCACGGCTCATCCTGATACAATGTTGGGGCGGTAAGTGGTGTCACTTCTTCAGATGGAAATAGAGGGTTGTTGGTTCTCTTCATGGAAGACACTGGGATTCAATAGAGCCTCTGTGGGGGAGAAACAGGACAGCACAGTAGCTTTTGTATATTTCTCTTTATTACTCTTACCCACTGAATTACCCCTTGGGTACAAGCCACTTTCAGGACATATAGATGGAAGGAAGGTAAGAAGGAAGACAGACAGACAGACAGACAGGCCCTCTACAGCTGCAGAAGTAGCTTTTCGGAAACATACTGGGCTGCAGGAGAGAGGAAGAATTACAGATATCCTTCTCCTAAGCACCACTGTGAATCCAACTCAACATATAGCTGCTAACATCTTCTTGTTTCTTTGTAGTCTCTGTGAAATTGCACATATGGGTCTTGTGTGCAGGTGCAAGACAGCTCGGAAATTCATGTGAAATTCTCACGTTCCTACCCATTCTCGCTGTTCGTCATGCCTCAGTTTCTGTAAGCTGCTGTCATAGCCGCTGAGGAACCGAGGTGCTAGCCCCACCTGACTGCTATATCCTCAAGGTGGATGGAGCTATCACCAAGAGTTTCTTAAAGCTATAGAGAATCCTGAGCTGTTTTGCACCTGTGCACAAAATCCATATGTGCGATTTCACAGATGACCATTCGAAGAAAGATGGTTACAGGTAAGCAATCCAACCATCTTACACTCAGCAAGGAAATGTTACCCATCTAGACTTCAGCTCCACCTTAGGAAGCATGATCAGAGGTCACTGGAGAAATTCTAGGGGTTTTAGTCCAAATTGAAGGAATTCTAGGGTACAAAGTACAAAGAATAGCTTTCTCAAGACCTGGTTTTAGAAGACTTTCAGATTTTAGAGCACCCAGTTTAAATATGGGTTATTGTAGGTTTTTGTAGGTTTTTCAGGCTGTATAGCCATGTTCTAGAAGCATTCTCTCCTGACTTCACAACCTCTGAGGATGCCTGCCATGGATGCAGGTGAAATGTTAGGACGAATGCTTCTAGAGCATGGCCATACAGCTCGAAAAACCTACAACAACCCAGTGATTCCAGCCATGAAAGCCTTCGACAATATATTTTAAATATGTTGGGCATAATGACACCGTGGAATTTTGATAACATTAGAATTATTTTCCTTTGGTTTTGGAAATGCACAGTTTTGAAACTAATTGGATTTAGTTCAGGGTAAAAGCATCTATGGTTTCTTCTGTGGACTCAGATGTGATGGATCAGTTTATGGTCCACAGAAGAAAGGCATCATTATTTTGCAAAGATTTTCTAGGAATTGAGTTTATCTCTTTCTTTAAAGTTCCTATATGTGTATGCTTCCTTGGAAGCTGCTGCTTGCTCTATTTTAATGTAAACAACAGCTTTTCAGCAGTAAAAAGATTGTAGGCAGTAAGCCAGCATGGCAGGATTAACGCCCCTCGCTGTGCCTTGATATGGATTAAGAGTGTCTATATCTAGTTTTTCTAATCTGAAGTTTGACTAGTAAAAGCATGCTTTTAGCCACATAGTTAAAGTCATGCCTAGTGATCAAATCTAAGTTTTATATACTTGTTTATTAGCAACAGAAACCACAATTTCCTGGTTTGGAAAGTTCTGAAACCAAAGAGTGGGGAACGGGAAGGGAAAAGAGTACACGGGCACCAATTCATTCTTGGAATGCTAAGCCAGGGTTTGCTGGGACAAGATTATTAGGACAGAAGTGGTCCTGATCTAGATCTGCATGCTTTTCTTCTGGCAGCAGAAAATGCTATCTGTTCATCAAAGAACCTCAAATGTTCATGATACCTAAATGCATACACTGTCCCCCTCTGTGTGACCATTGAGGTCTTCCTGGAGGTTTCATATAAGTCTGAGATCTCCTTGAGAAACTTCTAGGAGTAGGACTTTCCAATGAATGCCCTTCCAATTGATATGGGTCTCTGCTTCTGTTGTTAGTCTCTATTGAAGGCGTTTCTTTATAGAAAAGCATTTTCTAACAGATGCATTCCAGCCACTGTTTTATTAAGTTACTGATTTTATTATAATTTCCCTCTCACACACTCTCTTTGATACTTTGCTGTTGTAATCTGTGGATAATACCGCAACAAACTTTTTGATTCGATGTCATTTATTAATGTCATAAATAAGTATAAATAACTATGGTATGCTCAAGTAATAGTTTGCATTTATCAGAAGTATTTGTTCTTTAGCTGCTCTGAATGTTGTTGTCTGTTTAGCTGTGTGCCAGTAGAGATGCCTTAAGAAACCTTGTTTGCTTTCAGAATGTTTGGTCCAGGACGAGAATACAACTTCACTCGGCCAAATGAGAAAGGGGAATACGAAATTGCAGATGGAATCAGCTCCACGGTTTTCCGGACTGTGCTGGTGAGGAAGCCCACAAAGTTGGAGAAGGAGTGCTGTTCCTCCTGTCTGTTACATCCTTATTCCTCCTTTCAAGTTCAAAAGATTTTCAGCCTTCTCAAATAGCATATTCTTTTCTGTTTATAGACCTTAGGGAGGTTTTTTTTTCTCATTTCCTTTCCATATCCTATTTCAAAAATGGTGTTTGCATTGTATCTTATTAAGTGAATATCTTCTAGTCCTGTACTCCAAATCATGTTTGGTATTTGCAGTTTTTGGGAACACTGCAAACTTCTAAACCTGGAAAAGTTTAGAGCAGGGAAGCGTATTTTTGGTCTTCAGCTCCTATTAGATGTAGCCAAGAGAGAAAATGCTGAACGTTGTTGGAAGTTCAAGTGACACAGAATCTAGAGCAAGGGTTCTCAAGCTCTGGATCTCCAGATGTTTTGGCCTTCAACTCCCAGAAATCCAAAATCTGGTAAACTGGATGTTATTTCTGGGAGTTGTAAACCAAAACACATGGAGACCCACAGGTTGAGAACCTCTGATCTAGAGGATTGTATGATTCTCACCCTGTTTTAGAGTTTGAGGAAATGTTGACTGGGGGATTCTGTGAGTTTAATTTTTTTTAAGGAATGTACATTGTTGATGTTTTTCATTCGCACCTAGAGGCTACTGTGCTGGGAATTATTGAATGAGAAATTGTTCAGGATTCTTAGTATGTCATTCTGATATTTCTGAAGGAATAAAAGAATACAAATATGCAGTAGTCATCCAGAAAATGCTTTGTCTTTTATACTTTCAGGATTATTACAAAACTGGAATTATTAACTGTCCTGATGGGATTTCTATTCCTGATCTCAGAGACACATGTGACTATCTTTGCATCAACTTTGACTTTGACACAATCAAATGTCAAGATTTAAGTAAGTATAGTGAAACTTAAAGGAAAGATATTTCAAAGCTCTTCATGTGTCTGGCCATTCTGTTTATATAACATTATGAATTTACAGAGTGAGATTGGCAATGTCCAGTTCTGTGCAAAAGACTCAACATGGTTTGTTTCCTGCTAGGTGCATTATTGCATGAATTATCTAATGATGGGGCTCACAAGCAGTTTGATAGCTACCTAGAAGAGCTAATTCTCCCTATAATGGTGGGCAGTGCCAAGAAAGGAGAACGTGAGTGTCACATTGTGGTATTAACAGAAGAAGACATAGTGGACTGGGATGAAGACTACCCACCTCCAATGGGAGAGGAATACTCACAAAGTAGGTGATCTCTCTGTGTGAGAAAATTATTTTAAAAACACACTAGATTATAAACATACCTTATTGTATTATAAAGGGCCTGAGATGAAAAAACTAACATTTTTATTATATAAGAGATAATTTTTACAAAGAAAAGAAGCTGCTATTTGACCACACAGTCCAATACTTCTCACATTGCCCCCCCCCTCCAAAAAACAAACAAACATTGTTTTGTTCCATAATGTATGAATATAGGATTTCGTCTTTTAATTTGAGAAAGAAAGGGGTTTTTTGCTATGTGGAGACTGATTTCCAGGAAGCAGTTGCTGTTAACTGTGATATGCTAAGTGTAGTAGGTTTCAACAATGGATAGGAGTGTATTTCCACAATTAAAGCTGACTTGCCAGTTGCATCTTTTCTTTGAAATGCCAGACTTGGCATTCACATTAACATCCCACTTGGATTACTGGAACACACTTGGTATGAGGCTGCATTTGAAATCTGTATGAAAATTTCAGTGCATACAAAGTACTAAAGTCAGAATTTAATGCGTCAGACTCACTGAAGTTTTCAAACGGTTTTCAAAGGCAGTGTCATACCAAGTGTGTTAAGGTACTCCTTTGTTGTATTAGCTTCTCTGGCAACTGGTGATTTCCAGCCATAAAATGAAGGTTGTAATCCAGTAGTTCCCAAACTTTGGTCCTCCAGGTGCTTTGGACTTTAAGAATCCCAAGACGGTTTGACCAAATGTCAGAAGTTCTGTGAGCTAGCTAGCAAATATCTAGAGGACCAAAGTTTGTAATCTGTGATATACCTCAACAAACTCTTTGGTGTGATATCATTTATTAATGTTTGGGAATCACTTTTGTAATCTAGAGAACTGTACACAGCTTTGACCCAGACAATCTGAAGGGTTTTATTTCCCCATATATGCCTGTTCTTCAAGTGTTTAGATCCTTGGGGAAAGACTTCCCCTTGTTTCCAGCACTATCACGGGCACATTTGAAAGGTCTTTCTTGTTGGACCTCTACCAGAATATGCAATGCCCTCCCATGAGAGGCTGGTGGCTCCCCTTGCTGTGCTCATGCTGCCAGGCAAAGATCTTTTTGGGTTACTGTGAGTTTTTTGGGCTGCATGGCCATGTACCCTGCAGCATTCTCTCCTAACATTTTGGCTGTATCTGTGGCTGGCATTTTCAGAGGTTCTAATATTTTATCACACTGCCTCCCTTTCCTTTAATAATAGACATCTCCACAGTCTTCCTCTCACACCATCATTCACTGTTCCCCAAAAGTAGGGTTTTGTGTTGGTGGAGACCCACAAATGAACTAATAAGGAAGCTTCTTCCCATTAATTTCAGTGGACTGGGGTTAAGGGCTCAAATTTGTACTGGTTTGTGACACTAGGCACAAGAAGGTGGCACTTTGATTCAATCCTTTTCCCTAAATACAATAAATATCCCATGGTTACACTTTTTTTGCAAGCCTAAATGCTGAAAAAATATGTGCAGCTTTGTCATTTTATTTATAGCATATAATTATAAAATGAAAAACTTTTCTGCACTTTCACATTTCACAGTGCAGGCTGATTTTTATTTTTCTTCCTTGAATTACAATTTTTATTCCTTATTCTCTCACTTTTAGTATGTTCTTGGTTGAATAATTGAATGCTAATGCTTATTTGTAAAGGCTGTCAGACAGTTAACTTCTGTTAAATTGTCAGAAGGTGCATATTTTTCTACATTATTAGTTAAGACTCTTTCCTTCCTTTTCCAAGTTGTGTATAGCAATAAGCTCTATAGATTCTTCAAATATATTGAGAATCGGGATGTGGCGAAAGCTGTGCTGAAAGAACGTGGCCTGAAAAACATTCGGATTGGCATTGAAGGCAAGTATAGTACTTCTTAATGGTTTTTAGGAAGAAGCCAGCAGGAGTTTCCTTTCAGACTAGGGTAGACAATTGTGCCTTTGCAGATGTCTCTAGACTGCAGTTCTTTTAATTCTTCCCATTGTCTGTGTCGACTAGGATTATGCTAGGAGCCCCGGTGGCACAGTGGGTAAACCCTTGTGCTAGCAGGACTGAAGACCAACAGGTCGGAGGTTCGAATCCGGGGAGAGCACGGATGAGCTCCCTCTGTCAGCTGCAGCTCCCCATGCAGGGACATGAGAGAAGCCTCCCACAGGGATGGTAAAACATCAAAACACCCCTGCGCAGTACCCTTGCAGATGGCCAATTGTCTCACACCAGAAGCAACTTGCAGTTTCTCAAGTCACTCCTGACATGAAAAAAAACCCGTAGGGTTATGGAGGTTATGGTTATAGACTCTTGTTCACCAGAGTCTAGTCCAACACTCAAACCACTATGACATGCTGGCTCCATGTTGACATGGTTTTACTTCACAATCCTTCCACACACCCCCCCCCCCCCCCCCCCCCCCCCCCCCCCCCCCCCCCCCCATGCCTTCCATAGTTCATTGTTAGAGAGAGAGAGGCAATACTTCACTTCAAAAGCTATGGTTTGAGAAAAAAAAACACGTTTGTGTGGTTGATGATAAATGCATTTGTGAAATGACAACTCATCTGCCTCCTCTTTAATGGATCTGTCATCCCAGGACTCAGCATATCCGAAGCAGGCATTTTAATTACCACCTTTCCCCACATGAACCTGCCTCTTAAAACAGTCCAATTAGGTCTTGCTCCATATCCTCCAAATGTTGAATTGTAATCTGCTGTATTATGGTTTTATTATATTTTTTATTGTTTACAAGACAAAGAGAGACTGATATATGAAATTGTAATTTGTAACTGGTTTGTATTTGCAATCCTTATGTATTCACTAGTTTAGGAAATAGGGACTGTCAAAGTTCCTCAGTCTCCATTTACTGGGCAGCAACTGCTGCAAATGACTGGTTTCTGTTCCCCTTTTGAATGGGAAGTAGCTGACTGATGTTTCCATCCACCCCCTGTGTGGGGTAATTGTGATAAGGACCCTTTTCTGACTGTTGCACAAGAGATCACTCACAGAAAAGGTTGTGAATGTCAGTTGTTGCCTTCTGATCCATAAAGAAACAAATCCTTGTTGCTCACAGGCTGCTGCCTCATAAGTGAGGATTTGTGAGCTGGAAGACAGTACTTAGCTACATAACTAAGGTAGCTGTGTAACTAAGTAGGTGGTGCAGAATTCCAGCTGTTGTATAGGAGGCTTTGAAGTGTACAAATATTGATTTTGGAAATCCTTTCACTTTCCTGGATACATAAGGAATGCTTATAGAGATCAAAAACTAGCTAATGATGATAATGATGGCAAAATAACTGCTTTCTAGGCTATCCCACCTGTAAAGAGAAAGTGAAGAGGCGGTCTGGAGGGCGCTCAGAAGTTATTTACAACTATGTGCAACGTCCATTCATCCAGATGTCTTGGGAAAAGGAAGAGGGGAAAAGTCGCCATGTTGATTTCCAGTGTGTTAGAAGCAAATCCCTAACAAACCTTGTGGCGGTGGGTGCCGATGTAGCAGAAGACCAGGAGATTGTGCTCCATCACCCTCCCCAGGTAGACGAACTTGACAGGTTGAATGCCCCATTTTCTCAAATGGATTCTAACACTCTACCAGATTAACATTTTTGCTGACTGCAAAGATGTCTCAACAGATTTGGTTGATGTACTGAACTAAATACCTAGGGTATCCTGCCATCAGTTGTCTTATAACTGGATCTCTTACCAGCTGTTTTACTCTTGAGTGGCTTTAAACAGATTGGACTGATATAATTTTGCCTGCTTTTGAGCACCCCAAGCATTCTCCAAGTAGCACCTGGACCTGAGACTCAGTTCTGACCTCATCTTTGACAACATGAGCAACTCAGCTGAAATGGTATGTGTTATCAGCATCAACTGAAGATGGTGGATTGGATTCAGATTGGCCATTCCATGAATGGAAAGACTCTTTCTCTTCCCCAGAAAGCCCTGGATTTTATTGGAAGCAATGTTCATTCACCCCTCTCTGTCCCTGTAGACTTTCATACTTTTGTAGAAGGACCCCACCGTCTGATCAGTTTTCAGGAGCTAAAAGGCATTGGAGGGAGGAGTCCCAAAAGTTGCCGCCTTGCCCCTTCTTTTTTGGGCAAGGGTGGCAGAGTTGGGTGATAGATTTGTATTGCAACCTGGCATTTTGAAGGCAGGCACATGCATACTGGGACCAAGCTTTGTGAAAGCTGTGATAGCCCTCTCCCAATATATTGTGAGGCAGAGTCCCAACCTTGCTATCTCAATCTCCATTGAGAGTCCCGTCTCCTAAATGTAGCAATGAAGATTCTGAGAGAGGATGGGAATCCTTGGGACTTCTTTCAAGACAGATTAATCCTATGGGCTAATCTGTCTTGAAATATTAGCCCACCTGCCTCCTCCCTAAAGGCAGGTGGAAGTCTATTGAACTTTACTTCTGATCCAGTCCAATGAATCCTTTCAGCAAAGTTGTGTGCAATCACACAGAATTAATTCAAGAATTCCAGAGCTGTTTTCTAACTTTACTCCTTCAGCATCTCATATTTCAATTTTATAGACCACTTAATCTCGGGGAGATGCTGAATAGATAACACTATGTACCATGACTTTTGTTCCTGGGTTATAAATGTCATTTCCTAATTGGTTCTATCATAAAAACATGGAAAATTTTATTAAACTGCAAAAACTTTTGTGAGACTTCCTGCAGCACATTTTTCTATAGTTTTTCAATGAATATTTCATAGAATCTCAAACAAATCAACATAGTTTGTGGTAGCTGCAAAAATGAAGTTTCTTTAGTATAACAACTACTTTAAAAGTAAGTGCCGCACAATAAAACAGGAAATAACACTTTCAAACCAGGAACATAACATTTTTCAATTTTTGTTACATAGTGTAATAAAAGTGCAGATACAGGGGTGCAGAATCTCCTAGTTTTGGCTCGCACACACAAAAAATTGGATCTGAAGACATTTACATCATTTTCTGTAAGCTTCCAGTGAACTTACATAGCTTTGGTTCTTTAGGATGGAGAGGGTAGGTTTCAAGGAACAAAATGCCAGGCTGCGCCACCACAAAATGCTGCATTTTCAACTCAGGGCAAAGTTATTATTGTCCGTGTAGTCTATCCGTATTATATATATGCCATATTTTGTATACAATGACTAGTAAATTCAGGCAGAAAGTGATGAATTAGTGAAACCTGCAAAGTACTCTTGATGTATACATGTGCAAAGAACGTCTGTATTGTTGTGTTGCAGTCTGTAGTTTGTCCTTTCTTCCAAAAGTCCTGTGATTAAATAATAATGCTTTAAGGTAACAGTGTCTTTGGCATTCTATAGCTTTGTGGACCGAAAGACCAGGTGCTTTCTTCTTCAGACAAAGGACTGTCTCTTTGATCTTCTGAAAGAATTACACTGGCATAAAAGCTGATAATGCAGGTGCGTTGCTTAAAAATTCTGCTTTTTCACTTGCATATCCTGGTTACTACTTCTATCTATGTTGCTTTACAGCTTACATATTATGAAAGGAAGCAATGTATTCTTGTGTTGCTTTTTCCAGCTTGTAAAGCAACATCGATGATCTGAATTGATTCAGCAAAGGGTGCACAGCATGGTTCATAGAACAACTTTATTTAGAATGCATACAGGGAAATGTTTCCCATTTTTAAAATCCTATGGATGAAAGCTGATCACATTTCTTGCTTCTATACATCTTTCCATGTATAAGGTGTATTCTAATGGGTAGGTGTAAAGGATAATGCACATTCAGTAGGTCATGTATGAAGGTAGTTATCAGATGGCCTTGCTGAATGTCTGACCTGACTGTTCTGTAGTGTCACTGTAAACAAACCATCATTCTGTGCTTGCTCATGCCAGCTCAATCGTTCGTTCTAAAACTCAATCACATACAGTAGCAGCATTCTCTGTAAAGCAAAGAAAAAACATTTTCTGAATTATAATCTTTCTTTTGAAAAAAAATCTAAAGCAGTGGTTCTCAACCTGTGGGTCCCCAGGTGTTTTGGCCTACAACTCCCAGAAATCTCAGCCAGTTTACCAGCTGTTAGGATTTCTGGGAGTTGAAGGCCAAAACACCTGGGGACCCACAGATTGAGAACCACTGATCTAAAGTGCAATGGAAGACATAAATGTTGGACTAAAGAATAAGCAGAGGAATTTGGAGACTTCAGTGCTTGAAACTAGAAGAATTACAAAAAATACTTTTGAACAGGGAGATGCCTCCAAGCACCTCAATTTTGCAGACTCAAAACACCATCTCTGTAGGACCACATCTGAAACTACTTGATTCTGCCACCTAACGAAAATAGTTTTGCAAACGCAGAGAGGGGAAAAAAACCTCATTTTACATTTTCTGAGAATGAGTTGCCCTAGGCTGCTATTACTTTCAATGAGGTCATGGTCTGCTTAAATTCTGCATCCCTGCACTCATGACTTATTATCATGTATGAGTCTAGAATTTGTAATCAAAAAATCAGCCTAAATATTTCGGTTGACTTATCCATGGGTCATTGTAAGTACAGTATTTCAGTTCTTAGTGAAAACAGAACATTCTTCTCTAAGTGGCAAAAGAGAAGTGCTTAATCTGTCTTGGAAAAACCTAAAAGCAGCACTGGCTCCCTGTATTCTGCTGCTGCTGCTATTTAGAAATACCTGGGCAGGAAAATGACTGTGGTGGCTAGGTGGCTGGCCCTTGAGGCTGCACTGGCATTGTCCCCTCTCCATAGAATGAGCCTGGATTTACCCATGGAACATATTAAAATCCATAATATTAGTCCCTAACCTGACCTTGATTTATACATGGGGTCAAACTTGTACACAAGTATATATACTAATCATTTCACTTTTAAGGAATATTCAATCTGTATTTATGGACTTGTGCAGATTTGATTTGCTTAAAATTTTCTCTTTAGGAATCTAGATACTTCAGTGTGCCTCTCTGGTCAACTCCCACACTGGAGGACCTAGAAATTCCTAAAGATGCTCTAGGTCTTCCAGTGGGATTCTATAGACAACTTCCAGCAGAGGAAGTATCATGCTGAAGACCTAGAGGTTCTTAGAAAGCTGCTTTCTCATATAGGTGTTTTCTATTTGTGTTTTTCCCACCTTCATCTCAGCCCTAACTCCAGTGAATGTGGAGGGCTTAATGTATTTCTGCTAAGGGGAAATATCACGTATGTACTCCTTAACTGCCTTAAAAGTACAAATCAATATTTTTCATTTCAAAATTATTTCTATATTCCAGATTTACAAGCTCATAATTTCTGTAGTTGTTGATGTAAGAGCAGCTCACGTGTGTTTTCGTATTCTGAATAAAGTGCTTCTGATCGGATGTTTTATGTTTCTACTTCAGTAATGTGACGAACCCCCGGGACACTTGTTACTAAAACGGGAGGTCTGCTTACTGTATGAAAGTGGAGAATGTAAACCACTTTATTTTCAAAATTAATGAAAAATGTTTCTGTTACTGTGCTGAACATGAGAAGCAAGATTTCTGTAGAAGGGCAGTCTCTTCCTTCATCCAATGCCATGTATCCCTTTTCTTTTGCTTCTCTGCCTAATTAGTTATTGTGTTTCGTTTTGTGGGGTTTGTTCTTTTTTTCCTTTGCAGTATCTGAAATGTTGCAACTCAAATTTGTGTAAATTACTTCATATCACTCTTAATTCACTCTGAAGATACCTTTTTGTTCTGTCCAAAGAATTCTCAAAAAGCATTAGCAAAACTACATTTATTGAAGAGGAATTTTAAACAGTCATAATGCAAAGATTGTTCCATAAAGAATTGGTCTTCACACAAAACTAAAGGATCACATACAAAGAACATGAAATTGTACATTCTTAGTAACAGCCGCATTCAGATTTTTCAAAGTCAATTTTCTCCTGCCAAAACAAGGCAGAATCCAGGCACATTGAATAATCTGTACAGGTTGAGTGTTCCTTATCCAAAATGCTTCAGACCAAAAGTATTTTGTTTTTTTCAAATTTTGGAATACTTGTGTTTGCATACATGCATATAATGAAATGTCTTGAAGTCAGGACCGAAGTCTGGATAACAAATTCATTTAAATTACCTAGGCACCTTTATACACATTGCCTAGAGGTAATCTTATATATATTATTTAAAATAATTTTGTAGATGTGTGTGTAAAGCTATATCTTAGCCATCCAAATGGACACATTTGGATTTTGGAATTCTGGATAAGAGATGCTCAACCTATAAGTGCAATACTCTACTAGGGATAATAGACAACTGGTAGCTTTACTTATAAATATGAGTGAGGAAATTTTATTTTCTCCTACCCCTATTCAAACCAATACTCATATTGTTCATCTCTCAAGGGTTATACTGAAAATATACCAGAATGATGTAGCATTGCAGTACGTATCATATATACGTGCATAACCAGTAGGCTGGATACTAAATCTAATTTTGCTTTCCAAAAATGAAGTGTGCCACCCTTGAAAGATAATGATCTTTCCTGATTCATTACATGATTCATTATGGCCTGGGGCAAAATAACAGAACAAATGAATAGAAGTTTGGGAAGCAGCCATGGATTATGCATGATCACTTGCCTAAATTGGGGTTAAGTATCAACATTGACAATGGACATTTATTAGGTTTTTGCTTAACTCAAAATTTAGCTAATTATTTCAAATCCCAGTTGAATTTTTTTTACCTTAATGGCACTACAACCTAATGCTTGACTATGATTAATACAGGAAGAAACTTCACTGTAGACACATGGCCTAGTCCCTTAACTGTGGTCAGCATCACATCTGCAAATATACGATCTGCTGATAAGCACCCCTTTAGTATTACAAAAAAGCCAGATAAATTCGAATTATAAATGCTTGTTTTCTAGGGTGAAGTTCTACATAAAGTAAGTCCAATCAAGACTTTGAATGTTGCATACTGTTCTTATTTGTGAGAAGGTTCTACTAATGGCAACTAAGCATCTAGGCAGCTGGCAAGTCAACCTGATCTTGGCTGTTGCTGAGATTAAAGGATTTAAGATTAGACATCTTCATTCATTCTACACAACACACAAAGCAAATTATCAATAAAATTCATAACAGTACAAAGTATTCACACTTCGTCCTACAATCCAATTTACTCATGACATACAGTACTTGCGCTTAGGATCTGTTGTACTGTGGCACAGAAATGCTTTGATATATCTTCATAAAGCAGAAGAATACATTTTGTGCAAGTTATTGGCTGGTTTGCTCTCTAGGTAATCTGATCTACACTTTTAAGGCTTTATAAATGCATCAGTCATGTATGCTACATATTTCAGCAGGCACCAGAAATGTAACTTTAAACCCATTATTAAACTAAGCAAAACTCTAGTCCCACCAAGGGTGGGACACGTCAAAGGAATAAATTGCAAACTAGGCACAAAGGATTATGAAAACAAGAACAAGCGTTTATTCCCTCTTTCTAAATACATTTCTTGAAAAACTGCTATATGCAAAATATTTTTTGCATTGAAGCTTCTATCTAGTTCTGCATCTAGAATAAAGTCATTGGCTCTCTCAGTATCAAGATAGACAACACAAAATGATGGCATGATCATCATGACAAATAAAGATGGGGGACATATTCTAAACTTGCATATAAGACCATCTGGGACATCACCTTGGAAAGATATCACTCTTTATGATACAATGAGCAATACTACTTATGTGGAAACTATCTCATGAACTCAAAAGGGATGAGGTCAGAAATTAGCTAAAACAAAATATATCTTCTAGGAGAATGACTGGAAGCTGCGATTGTAATTCCATTCCAAGATTCACCAGATTTTCTTGAGGCGGATATGATGATCTTTGACCAATGTCTTCTAAATTACAAGAAGTGAGTCCTGGTCCCCAAATTTTAACTAAGTACCAACACTTAAATGGCTTTCAGTCTAGTTGCATAAGAATAAATAAAACTGCCAGGACATTTTACTAAAGGGAAACTCAATGTTTTTATGACATTGTCCAATACAAATACTAATGTACCTGGAAGGTCCCCAAACTACTTTAGGTCCCATCCTCTCATTTTCCTTTTTGAGCTTTGAAAAGTACTAGATTCATTCCTATACAACTAACCCTGCTGTATGTATGGTGCTTATCTTAAACAGGTTATCATGTATATTTCTAAGATGGTTACTTTTGAAGGACAGCAAGTGAATGAGATACTCAACAATGGCAGTATATTATTACATGTCATGCAAAAACTTAGAAGGTAGGGAGTCAGCTAGACAGTCTGAATGATTTTAAAGAAGTACCAAGGCCACCTGAAGAGGTGTCTGGAACATGAAATTGCACCACACAGAAATTTTGAACAAACAGAGCCATTACACAGGCCTCTCCAATCTGTGGCCCTCCAAGTGTTTGGGACTCCAACTCTCAGAAACCTTAGCCAGCTTGTTCAATGGTCTGGGAGCTGAAGTCCAAAACACCTGGAGAGCTGCAGGTTGAAGAGGCCTGCCTAAGAGTTGTTTACAGGTAGCATTTGAAAGGCACTTAAAGAGTTCTCAGCCTCCCAAGCTCCAGAAGTATGAAGTTTTAAGTATCCCAAACTACTTGTTTAAATCTTTCACATTGTAATTAACTGTCTGTATCACCTTCCTGGCCCTGCTTAGTTAAAATCTGGAAGTTAGAGAGGAGGGAGAAGAAGTCCTTTTCCCCATATTGCTACCAAATTGTTACAAACAGACCTTGCAGTAACAGTATTAGCCCTGGGGAGCTTATACTGTTACTATACGTGATCTGTATCTTTGCAGAAAAGACAAAACATTACAAAAAACAACTTCTCAAGAAATCACCCCTTGTCATTGCCCTGAACATTGCTTATAAAAAGGATAATGTTCCACAAATCTGTAACATGGGGGGGGGGGGCTTTTAACATTTTAAGTTCACTATTTTAGTACCAACAGTAAAGTGCAGCAGGTTTTGAGGTTGAAAAAGATGTTATATCCAAAAAGCTTTTTGAATGAAGTATAAAAAGACTATAGTGATATTTAAGGCAATATAGGATCTGCCCACCTGTGGGATAAGTTACTGAGAGTTTTGTCTACCTCATGCTAGTTATTGCTTTGTTTCTTCTACAGTACTGTAGCCCTTGGAACAGTGCTGTATTTTCATGAAGCACTTGTGAGACAGAATACAGAGTACAGTTATGTTATGCTTTGCCACGTTAGTAAATAAAAGCTAGTTCTTGCCTCCCTCTTGTTGAAGTAACAGTCATAAGAACTTTAACTGAAGCCAGAATACATATAATCTGCAATAAAGGCAGACAATAAGATTGTGGAAATTTTCCATAGAGAAATCCACTGTAATGTAAATCACAGTGCGTATTATGTTATCCAGCATTCTTCTCAAGAGTTCACAGCCCTCAGGTAAAGCTTTGAAGTGCAGAAGAAAACAATGTGTGTTGACAAACTAAAATGAAGGTCCAGAAGTCCAACTGTGAGTTACTACTTTCCATCTTTCATGTAGGACGGTATTGCACCTCGAGCGGTCAGGCCTTCAAAACGCTTGTAGGTATAATTGATAAAGACCCAGTCTTTATTCTTGTAGTCTGTTTCCGGGTGGTTACTTGTAGACACTAGTGAAAACCAGCACACAAAATTTAGATTAACAATGAAGTAATGTAAAAAAAAAAAAAAAAGAGAGAATATATTTTGTTGAACGTGTTCTAGACTTGCTACTGGAATGGGAAAATTATGCACTCCTATTATATCTTCCTGGGCATGTTTCAAAGATAGGAACATGTAAAACAGATACATCATTTCTCTGCTGTTCAATAGCCATATTGTCTGGCACATAACAAAGATATGCATTAGATCTGCCTTAGCTTATGTATCCTTACATTGCATGTCAGTCACCACAATACTTTAGGATAAAATGAAACTCTATTTCATTTATATGCCATCTTTCTCACAGAATGGAACCCAAGGGTGTTCCAGATACAATAAATGGAAAAAAGCTTAACAAGATTTTTAAAAAACTCCAATAAAAATCCTCCCTCCTTATACAAAGTCTGCTTAATTACTTGAAGTTCTTTTGATTTTTGTTTAGTTGGAAGAGACCTCATGGGCCAACCCCCTGGCTAGAAGCAGGAATATTGCATTCAAAGCACCCCTGACAGATGGCCATCCAGCCTCTGTTTAAAAGCTTCCAAAGAAGGAGCCTCCACCACACTTCGGGGCAGAGAGTTCCATTGCTGAACAGCTCTCACAATAAGGAAGTTCTTCCTAACATTCAGGTGGAATCTCCTTTCTTGTAGTTTGATGCCATTGTTCCGCGTCCTAGTCTCTAGGGCAGCAGAAAACAAGCTTGCTCCCACCTCCCTATGACTTTCTCTCACGTATTTATACATGGCTATCATGTCTCCTCTCAGCCTTCTCAGCCCAGCTCTTTAAGCTGCTCCTCATAGGGCTTGTTCTCCAGACCCTTGGTCATTTTAGTCGCCCTCTTCTGGACACATTCCAGTTTGTCAATATCTCTCTTCAATTGTGGTGCCCAGAATTAGACACAATATTCCAGGTGTGGTCTAACCAAGGTAGAATAGAAGGGTAGCATGACTTCCCTGGATCTAGACACTATACTCCAATTGATGCAGCCCAAAATCCCATTGGCTTTTTTTGCCGCCGCATCTTACTGTTGGCTCATGTTTAACTTGTTGTCCACGAGGACCTCAATATATTATCATCCATTATTATTATATATCGATGTGACTATGGTTTGGGAAGAGGTGATGTGGAATATAGCCCTCAAAACTGAGATAGAGGAAATTCATGAGCAGGAAGCCAGCATTTACCAGTGTTGCTCTTCCCCTTTTCTCTGAACTGAATCCATCAAAATCGAATTTAAAACATACTGAACCTATGAATTAACTTTAATGTAACAGCTGTCTCCTCAAAAACCTTCCCCAAACCAACTTAGAATGAAAGTAATAACATAGGGATTTGCAGAACTAGGCTAAGAATTATTTTCTATGAAATAGCCAGATTTTGGAAAGTGAAAGTTAAGATACATATAAAAATTAAGACCATAAAATAACTTACCTGCTGGTTTAAGGATATCAGATTCTGGAAATTCATCGAAGTTTGATGTATCATCTATACTTTTGATTTCTATAGGTATTGCAGCTGGCCTCTCCCTGATTAAAAAAAATAATTCCTGATTAAACTTACTGTACATGAAGAATCTTGAATGCAGTATCAAATATGGAACACAACTGCTTCTAAAGCCCACATTCTGTCTTGCTCACATCACCTAATCTCTTCCCCCATTCTTCCCATTACTAGAGCAGGAAACAAAATTTGAATACATTGGAAGAAAAGAGTATTTTACCTGATATGCTCCCAGTCAACTCCCTCAAAAAAAGGATTTGTTTTAATTTCCTCAACACCAGGAGCACCAATTCGATGTTCCCATTCACAGCAAAATCTGTAGAAAGAAAAAGAAGCAACATGGAGAATCCAAAAATAGAAAAAAGCACAGTAAATTACTGAGTGAGAATGGAAATGTCTGACATTACAGAGGGATTCTGGTATGTCTGGCAATCAGAACGACTGTTTATGGTTTAATTCAGGGGAAGGCTCTGGTCCATCCTCCAGATGTATTTGGACCCCAACACCCAACAGTCTTAGTGAAGCAAATGCCAGTTGTGAGGAAAACTGAGGTGTAATTCAACAACATCTAGAGAGCCCAATGTCAATATTCAATTGACTAAGATCCTATAGAAATTGGGATAAGATATCACAAAAGAACAGCCCTTACTACTGCAGAGTGAATACTGTGAGATGTTGTAAGAAAGTCTGTCTATGTAATGCTCCAAGGACATATTGAGAGCAATTGTTGATGTGGTGATACCTTAGAATAAGATCTTTGGCTCGCTCAGAGATTGGTACTTCTGGAGGGAATATGAGCGTCTCTTTCCAATTCATCACCTTCTTGTATGTTTCTTGGGGTGTCTCTGAACAGAAGGGAGGGTAACCTAAGAAATAAGTTAAGATGATCATGAGGAATTATTAATGAAAGCTGTAAGCAATTGTTATCTCCCACCATATCAAACTCTATTTCAGATTCATGTACTTCAACTGCAAATAAGCATCAAGATAAGAAGTTCAATGTAATGCAGTTGTGTGGTGCAGTTTCAAATCTTCCAACCCCAGACTCCCCAGATAATGGATTCAATGGAAAGGGTTTGTGGGAGTTACAAAATGAAAAATCTGGACAGCATATGTTCCTACCAATGAGCATCTCGTACATGATGACCCCAAGTGACCACCAGTCACAAAGTTTATTGTAGCCTGTCTGCATGAAAACTTCTGGAGCAATGTAATCTGGAGTTCCCACAGTAGAGAAAGCCTGCAAATAAATGAGGCGTGTTACATATGCTCAGAAACATTTTAACAGTAAAGAAATCAATCAAATCCCCATCATAAACCACATTCTGTTTGAGGGGAAGGAGGTTGTGTCACTGATATTCCCCAGTGACACAGAAGGATAAAACAAAAATGAAGCTCCTTTTGCTCTTGCTCTTCTGAAGGCTAGTTCAATTGCATTTTCATGATTTTAAACATCCAAATTAAACACAGAATCTCTGCTCAGAGATTGCAGCTGAAAAAGAGATGAGACTGCGGAGCTTTCCCCTCAACTCTACATCTCCAGAAAGTTCCTCCCCTCCCTCTATTGTTTTTCTTCAGGCAGATCATTATAAGAACTAATGATTGGTCCCTAGATCACAATCTTATTGTTTGAATGTGTTGGATTTTTGTAAGGCTAAACAAACTGTCATTGTGACTAACCTCACAAAACATGTTAAAGAAAACTTTAGTAACTTGAAAGCTAGGTAAACATGTTTAAAAACAAGCTTATTTCTAACAGCTCTACGTACCAATTGTCGTCTATTTCTTTTCCAAGTTTCTGCTTTCCTTTTAGAATTCATATTCTGAAAGGCTGAAAAAATTGAAGCAGGAATATTATTAATTACTTTTATTTTACCTTTGATTTAATAATATATTGATGTTGGCGCACAAATTTGAGTAACAGTTTACTGCTTTTTACTTTTTTCTTGTGGCATCCAGGGACCCCGCTACCTCTCATGATACCCAATAATACAGACAGAATGGGAGAAAATAGGATGTCATATTGTAATTTAAAATAAGGTTGCAAATGAGTGGTGGGAGAATTAAAGTAAAGTATAAATTAACATTTATTTTCAAAAACAGCTCCATATTTTAAGGTTTTTTTCCGTTTATAGATAAGGAATTTATACAATTATGCATTCAATTTTTGTGAAAATTTTCTCCGATAATACAGGTCTTGTAAAGTGCGTTGTAAAGTGCGTTTTTAAGATGTAAACCAGGAGGGCAAGAACTGTTCTTTAAAAACTGCTTGATCTGGCTGTATTTGGCTGAATAAAAGAGTAAAGATACTTTAAATAAAGCAAATAAATAAAATACCTGTGTTATAAAGGAACAAAAAAAACCTTTGTTTGTCTAATCCAACATTTCTCCAGAAAGGCTCACTACTGAATAGCAAAATGTTGACAGAACAAATAAAAAACCTTGACTAAGGTTGCCTTGCACAGATTAGCATTTTGGGCAGTTATGGGAACTGTGTATTTTTCTCAGCTTTTTCTGAGATTGCAAGTTTTCACAAAGATTGAAATAATTATATTAATACTACTTACTAAAGTCACTAGGCAAATTGTGGCTCAGGTTTCTATAAAACTCGGTTCTATGTGCTTTCTTTAGTCCAGTGCAGAGACCAAAGTCTGATAATTTCACGTGTCCCTAGAAAAAGGCAAAAACAAATGAAAGATTTTTTTTTAAAAAAAACACTTCAATTAATTATGGATTAATTCATCTCCCACCAAGTCTATCTGAAGGCAGCCACATATTTAATATGCAAGGCGTCTGCGAAGAGTTAACTCACATCTCCAAAAGAAATGGTTATGCATCCAATTCAAAATCTAAAAGCTGAACCCTGATCCATATACCAAATCCCTAGATTTAGTACATTTTATCATAATTAAGTGTTTCTGAGTGAGAGATTCTTCAATTTGTGAAGGGCTGGCTTACAGATTTAATTTCATCTAACTGCTTAGCCAAGTTCTTCCATTTCAAGCTCTTTGGAGTTCCAAAGGAAATAATAATGCCACAACATGAAGTAAGCAACTGTATTTCTACCACGTAATATTAGAAAGTGCTAGCCTTTGAAATACCCTTACCTTACTGTCCAAAAGAAGATTATCTGGCTTGATATCACGATGAATAAAACCCAGCTGGTGAATTGAATCAATTGCTAGCACAGTCTCTGCTATATAAAACTGAGTCTCTTCTTCTGACAGTGTATCTTTTTTCATCAATAATGTCATCATATCTCCTGTATGTACAGATGATGGGGGGGGGGGGGAGGTTACATTCATCTCCTTTGTAGTGTAACTCTTAGTAAACTTTAGGTCAGGCTGGATTCTAACATACACTTAACGTATTCTGTACAGCACCTTTTGCCCTCCCAGAACAATAACTCCCAAAGTACATTTTGCTCTCAGTACAAGTGAGTAAATAAGGCATGTATCTTTAAGAAGTCATTTCCTGAGTTTGCCCCAGCAGTTTCCAACCTAGCATCCTTCAGATGTTTTAGATTATAGCTCTCATTGGATGACATCAACTCGTAATCTCACCTGGAGTAGATTTGTAGATTCAATCACTGAATGGTAAATCAAGACCTATATAAATCTCATTTATTCTATGGGTTCACTCTAGTTGGGATTAACAAACGAGTTTATACCATTTTTCACAAACAATGGCCATGCTTGCCTAGGATGATAGCAGGTTTACACAACATGTCTTGGAGGGCAACAAAAGGGGGAAGACTTGTTTACACAGATTTGTTCAAGATGCCTTTTGACAAAATTAAATACTGATTTTAAAAATACCTTTGATTTTCCAGTAAGAAAACTTGTATCAATCTAAAGTAGATGGAAATTCCATCGCAATGATGCAAACCTATATTAAAATGGCATGCACATAATTTCACCAGTTCTATGGTCTTCCATCATTTTAGTATGCCCTAATAATTGCTGCTTACACAAACAAAAATAAATTTATTGTCAAAGGCTTTCATGGCTGGAATCACTGGTTGTTGTAGGTTTTTTTGGGCTATATGGCCATGTTCTAGAGGCATTCTCTCCTGACGTTTCGCCTGCATCTATGGCAAGCATCCTCAGAGGATGAAACATCTCAAATGGACATTCTTAGCCCCCTCCCATAAATAATCTCCAGTGTGACAGTCAGAAACAAGATCCATCTTGCAATCCCTTGTTCCACTTGAGGCTACTTGAAAGTCTGGGGCAACATGTCTACTGCTTCCTAATAACAGGAAAAACAGGCCTTTGATTCCTGCTAGAAGCTAAATGAGCTGTTGGAATTTAAAAACCATCTAAACACCTATTTCTTCCAGCAGGCCTACCTAGAGAGTTTTTGAACATGAATTTTAAACATGTTTCCTTTGTTTAATCTAAATTTTGGGTATTTTAATATGTATTTTATAGAAATATTTTAATATGTATATTTTATAGAAATACATTTTAATATGTGTATTGTGGCATTTTTACAATGTTTATGCATGTTAATTATTCTGTAACCTGCCTCAAACCACAAGCCTCAAGCCACAAGGAGAGGCGAGTAAGATATATTATTGTTGTTGTTGCTGCAGCTACTGCCCAGTAAAACTGGACTGGGAAACTTTTATGATACCTCTGAATTCTGTGCATTATTGAACATGTAGAGCAGAGCTTTCCAGATATTTCATGGTGGTCACACTTTTTAGTTATGCATCATCTGTTTTAATCTGTTTGGTTGATATGTATTTTAATTGCTATATGTTTAGGTTGTTTTATATGTTTATGAGATGTGTTTTATTGGTATTGAATTTTTGCCAGATTTGTAAGCTGCCTTGAGCCCCCCCCCCCCCCATAAATTGTAACAATGAAATGTATGAGAACACAACATACATAATGAAAAACTTGCTTTTATATATATTTTAAAATGTATAATTTATTGCGTATTTCACATTGATTCATTATTTTTGTGCAGTTTGGAAAGCTCTGGTGTAGGGAATGTGAACATTAATAAGTTATGAATGTGTAACTCTATGTGAATTCCAGCCTATATTATAGAATAAAATTGTATCCCATTCAGATTGTTAATTACAGATCAGGAGAAACTCCATTCTGTAATGCATGAATCACCCAAGCATGCATTGAACAGCGCAGGATCAGAAACCATGCACTGACAGAATGCAGAAGTCATATGTACAAGCCATATATGATGAAAATATCCTACCAAAACAGTACCATATTATTTAAAATAATTACCTCCAGGCAGGAACTCCATAATTAGATACAGGTTTAGCTTATCCTGAAAGCTATAGAACATTTTTACAACCCACAAGCTATCTGCTTCCACTAGAATGTCACGCTCTGCTCGAATATGGCCAACCTATGAAGAGATAAAGAAACTCAATTTAAATGAAATTTTCTTTTATTTTTAAACAAAGTTTGTAATGAAAGAAACATTTTGACGTATTTCTTAGATTCCTAGGCACTGAGCAGTAGTTAATGTTAAAACACGGGCTACTTTTTATTTTATTTTAATTGAACAAAGCTTGCCAAGGCCAGCAACACTACCCACTCATTTGCACTCAAGGAAACCAAGATGGAGGATCATAGAGTTGGAAGAGACCACAAGGGCTATCCAATCCAACTTCCTGCAGGAAAATACAATCAAAGCACTCCCAAAAGATGGCCATTCAGCCTCTGCTTAAAAGCCGCAAGAGAGAGACCCCACCAGATTCCAAGGCAGGACATTCCATTGCCAAACAGCTTTTACTGTTAACAGAACACAAACTTGCCCCCTCCTCCATGTGACATCCTTTCAAATATTTAAACATGGATACAATGTCCCCTCTCATTATTTTCTTCAATCTAAATATATCTAGCTTTAACTGATGCTTTTGCCCTATTTAATGCAAGTATGAACAGCATTTATTTTAATGAAACATTGGCAGAAATCTCACATTAAGCACATGAATTGAAAGTAGCACAATTTAAACCTCATGGCACGTAGAACCTTTAGACACTTGGAATAATGTTTTAAATGTAGTAATACAGGGGTGCACACTTCTAGGACTGCCTCTTTCCATATGCAGTCTGAGAACTGATAAACCCTTGAATGAATTTTGCCATTTTTGTTTAGCAGCTCCCAACATGGAAAAACCCAGATTAGATCACTTCCTGGTGTTCTGTTAATGTTTGATAACTTTTCCAACAAGCCTTTAGGATATTTCTGCTGCTGACATTTAATTTTTAGAGATAAACTTTTTAATGTACATTAATGATTTGCATATTTTCTTGGTACTGTTGTTCATTTATTTGGTTGTTTTTGCATCTTCATTTTGAAAAGGGAAATAGCATAATAAAGGTCTAAAATGCATAATACTTGCACACGTGTGGACAAGGGAAAGATGGACAACTTTCAGAGACCCAGACACTTCATTCATATTACCAGAATCTCAAATCATAAAAGTATACAGGTGCTTTTGGATCACTGTCATAAAGATATCTGCAGACATACTCATGCATAATCCATTCTAAAACCTGTAAATTGGTTAGGCTTTGGGTTGATGTGAGTTTTGGGTGCTGTATGGCCATGTTCCAGAAGCATCCTCTCCTGACATTTTGCCTGCATCTGTGGCAAGCATCCTCAGAGGTTTGTTCAGAGGTTAGGCTTTGTCTGAATACATGACTCTCCAGGGAATCTTTAACAGAAGACTGCAAGCTAAAGGTTTGTCACCCTCCTTCATGTTAGAGTGCACCTTCCTTGAGGACCTAACTTGTCACTTGCTTCCACTTGGAAATTATGCCTTCCTCAATGTACTAATCAATAAACCTTTTAGCTTACCTCTATTTTCATCTGATAGACAATTTCTATGCTCTTGGGCGTTACTGCTCTTAAAAACAGACTCATTAGACATGCGCCTAATGCTACTCACTCATAGTGTTGCTGGCCCTTTTCCTACAATACATACTTCTAGCTTCAGAACTGTCTTGGCAGGCAGAATGAATGCCCGAGAAAGCTCAGCAATAAAGCCACTCTTCACTCATGGAAAAAATTGACGCTTGCCTCATCCTGACCTTCTCTGTTCCCCACTCATCCATTTTGTGGGGAGAAAAACTATAAACTGTACTGCTAAGTGATGTGATAGAGAACTTAACTCTATCTTTAACAGTCTGTTTTAGGTCCAAGAGAGGCATTTCCTTTTTCAACAGGTATATGTCATTTTGAAAAAAAAAATCCTCTGAGGGGATGGAGTGGGACAAGCTTTACTACTATGCCTACTACACCAGTGTTTCCTAGGCCCCATGATCAGTGTAGACTCATATAATGCAGTTCAATAATGCAATTTCAAACTGCATTTTATGGGAATGTAGATGGGGTCCCAGATTGATGTGGATGGCTAGCCATCCCACATCCCAGTGTGCTAGGAACTGGCATTTTATTTGTGTATATTAGCTGTTTACTGAGAGCTCTTCAGGGATTAGCAGCAGATGATTCAGAGACTGATACCAACTTCCACTATGACTAGAACTGCCTGTGACAGTTCAACTAGTTGTTTTCAATTCAAACAAAAACATGAATGGCAGGGTACACAAGACTTGTAGGCAATCCATGGGCTCTCCTCACTCCACCCTTTTTTTAAAAAATAAAGAGCTAGAGGACATGCAGAGATAAGCAGTTCCTTACAATAGTCATGTTACCTACAAATGTTTAAATCAGTCAAGAGACACAAAAAGTGCTCAATCTTGCAGTTTAATGGCTAATTCTCAACTGAATCTGTTTACAAGGAGTCAAAAACTAAGTCGACTAATGAGAGAATTCTGTATGGTGTTCTTCATACAGTACCTCCATACACACAGCTGAATGAAAATCTGAATCAGGAGATATCTATTCAATATTTGATGGCTACAGTTTTAACAAAACATACCACACTGGGTATGTTTACAAATAAATCTCACTAAATCTGGTAAGCCCTGCTTACTCCTACATGATTTTCAAAGGGAAAGCTATTTCAGAATACAAAGGGGTCTTCTAATACCTTTAAGACAAATTAAGTAATTTCAGCATAAGTTTATGAAGAAGTGGAATGGAATCCACAAAAAGCTTATATTGAAATCAATTTGCTATCGTTATACAAGTGCTGCATGGCTTCTCTCTTCTTTATACACATAACTGTAGTTATTATGCAGTAAAACAAGGTATCTTCAGTGACAAGTTAGATAACAATGTATACCTGAATGCATTTTTTAAAAAAGTAATCCTCAATGATATCCTTAAACCTGGAATTTCCATTCTTCCAATAATAATGGGAATTCAAGATATATATTACCAATCTTATTGCTCTAATAAAAAGGAAGAACACTTCAATCAATCATCAGGAGTAAGAATGCACTCCCATTACCTTTTATAATCTGTATTTACCTGTTCTTTTTCAAGCATGTCTGCTTTACGCAAAATTTTCATTGCATACACGTGTCCTGTATCTTTTTTCTGAACAAGCCGCACCTAGAAGTTGTTTGGAAATAATATATGCATTAAGACTCCTTTAAGTTACTTTTTTTAATATATGGAAAAGAGTATATGCTGTATATTAAGAAGCAGGGAAGAGCATCATTGTGTTTTGCAATACAGCTGAAATACCGAAATTGGCAAAAAAAGCTACATGCAGGATATGGGAAATTAACATAGGTGATGATAAAACCCCTTCTTTCCACAAACAGTATGCCACGGCCTAAGAAAGAGTTAAGAATCAAAGGGTGCATCTACACTGTAGAATTAATGCAGTTCGACACCACTTTAACTGTCATGATTCAGTGCTATGGAATTCTGGGAGTTGTAGTTTTACAAGGACTTTGGCTTTCTCTGTCAAAAGAATGCTGTCCATGGCGAACAAACTGTATTAATTCTACAGTATAGATGTATCCATAGTTGTGATGTTGGAAGTAGGGACGTGTGATTTGTCAAAAACTCCTCCCATTTCTGGCCTGCCCCCTGCTCCATTTTTTAGGAAATTCCCGAAATTGGGACGGTGGAATAATGTTTCACCTTCCGTCAGACAGAATTCCGTTGCGGCATACCGGAAGCAGTGTCCCCAGAAGAAGTGGAAAGCCAACTCCCAAAGGAGTTGCTTTCCTTTCCCTCCTTAGGTGGCGAGACAAGTGCGTGGAGCTGCCTGCTGCGCCTTCGCGGGGCTTGAGGCAGGCAGGCATGCGGCCCTGGCAACTCCTACAATAGGTGGGCCTTGGCGGTGGTCGCAATGCTGTTCCAAAAAGGCGGCAGGCAACGGCCAGGACTTTGTGAAGAGGCACAGCGGCGCGGCAAAGGCGGCAGTCGAGGAGGCGGCAAAGGCAGCGGAGGAAGCAGCAGAGAGGCTTCAGGCTTGGCGGCAAAGGAGCTGTACTGAAGGAGATGAGAGAGGAGGCTGCTCCGGGCACGAGGAGAAGGAGTTTTCCATTTTGCAAAGCCCTGGCCATTGCCCGCTGCCTTCGTGGAACAGCATTGCGACTGCCGCCAAGAAAAATGGAGGAGCTCGCCCTGGTATATATAGGCCAGATTTGCAAAAAGACACATGATCCACTTTCTTCTTCAGATTGGCTGTTGCAAGGGGGGGGGGGAGGAAAAACCCGAATGCACCTGGGTACAGCCAAAGGTCTGATGCCACAAGCTCCATTATTCCAGGCCTTTGGCTGCCCCGGCCACATTTCCTGGGATTTGGCTGACGGATCATCCGAACCCCCTGAATATGGTACATCAAAACAATATTATGCACACCCCTAGTTGGAAGCAATTTTGAGTCTAGCTGGAGTGGTAGAAATAAAAATAGTTTGCATTTTGACCGCAGTTTCAAAATACAAACTATTATAACAATATATGAAAAATATATAATTTGATATTTATAGTTTGTCTTTCAAAATATTCTTAAATAGTCTTGTTGCATATTTACTCTCTTCTTAAATCAGTTTTTTTTGGCTCAATTTTTAAAATTAAATAAACATAATTTATGTTCTATCAACCTCCTGGTTTTGCTGACAGAGTGAGAGCTGTCAACAAAATAATCTATTTGGGTGCTACTTAGTAAATGGCCAGATGTCTGTTTCTTTAAAGAGGATTATTAAATTTTCAAAATTACAAACATTGCCAGTACTTATGTAATGTATACACTGAAAGCAAATTCTGTGGTGGGATATTGTTCTGCCTTTTATGGGAAGATGATTTTTTTTTGTAATTAAGCATATGACTAACAATGCAGGAGGATAAAATGTGGTTGTTAGTATTTATTTAAAATCTATCTTTGTTAAAATGTTGCTCTCTTGAACTCTTACCTCTCCAAATGCTCCTCTGCCAATTACTTTTAAAGACTCAAAATCTTCCAATCCAAGTCTTGTCCTTTTTAGACGCAGAAACTCTGTTTCCTTTCGGGCATGTGCTGATCTTCTCATCCTTTTCTGATTGTTTTGTCAAAAGCAATACAAAACAAATACATAAATAAAAATGTATTAAACAATCACACCCTAATCATTCACAGTGTATGTTTATTATAATAGTTTTTTTTAAACCCAAAAACAGGATATCTTAAAATACATGCAATACCTCTTCATCTCTCAAGCCTTCTTCTTCCATCACCTTTTCTAGCTTCTTTTGTCTAAAAAACATAAACATTGTCTTGTCAATGGAGATGTTCCTGTCAAATACAACTGTATATAAAAAGACCAAGAAGTGTAATTTTGGGAGCTATGACCCCATTCTCAATATACATGCCAATGAAGACAAAGTTTCAAATGTCTGTGAAATGACCAGGATATTGATCCATACCATGTTTTATATTGCATTTATCAGTTACATTCAAATAATTTGACTTTTGACTTGTATAATAAAAGAAAAAAAACATCAACAAAAGACAACTGCAATTAACTTGAGGCATATATAACAGCAGAATGGGCAGAGAACAATGTAAATATTATACAATTAATAATTTCTACAATTCCATCACATCTGATTTAGATTAGCCACCTATCACCTTGCTAATTGGGTTCAAAGTGGGCTAGTAATGGAAAAGAGTCTTCAGAAACTGGAAAAATGAGTTAATTGCATAAGAGACCCAATTCACAACACACAACACAAATGCACCATTCCAATACAACTGCATCATGGAACAGAGTGGATGCCACAATATATAACAGAAAAAGCAATAACCCTGTACCAATTCTACATTAATAGAATTATAGAAGAACAAAGATGTTTTGTCGAAGGCTTTCATGGCTGGAATCACTGGGTTATTGTAGATTTTTCAGGCTGTATGGCCAAGTTCTAGAAGCATTCTCTCCTAAGAAGAAAATGCTTCTAGAACATGGCTATACAGCCCAAAAAACCTACAACAACCCAACAAAGATGTTATTAAAAAGATGAATAGCATTCAAAATAGTATCAGAGCTTCTCAGAATATACAATCCACATTTCTGTTTCCATTAAACAGGGCACAACACACCTCTCTTTGTGACCATATCCACATGCTTAATGAGCCTGATGCTGGTATGACTAATTTTTATTAATCAATAATTGAAGAAATGTCCTACTTTTTCAGCCCAGGGTTACTTTACTTTCGAAAGAACTAACTCAACTGCTATAATGAGGGCTACATCTTTATCCTCACTAAACAAAGCTCTGTCTTGGTTACATCATACAGCAGTTACACACCAGAGCACAGAGGGGGTCACGGTGAGGCTCTGTTGCTTCTGAAACAGAATAAACTAAAGACAGGAAAAACCACATTTCTGAGGCATGCTTAGACCAGACAGGATATATAAACAAAAACTATTGCCATTAATAAATGAAATTTAAGAGTTTCTAATTATGACAGAAACAACGTACTGAAAATTGAATAACAATTCTAAGAAAATCAAGAAGCACATAGAAATAATTACAAAGCTGGATAAATTTTAAGGGGAACTAAAAAGAGCAAATATCATGCACAAGAGGAAAAGTTTAAGGTTATCCATACATCAAAATCAATAAATGTCATTGATTCAGTTGCTTTAGGGAACATTTTCTAAAGACCTGGAGAAGAGAAGGTGAAGAGGTGACAAGATAGCTATGTTTTAAAATTTCAAAGGATGCCATAATGAAGGTGGAGCGAGCTTTTCTGCTGCGTTAGAGACTAGGAGACAAAGCAATGGATTCAAACTACAGGAAAAGAGATTCCACTTAAAAATCAGGAAGAACATCCTGATGGTAAGAGCTGTTTGACAGTGGAATGCATTCCCTCAGACTGTGGTCTAGTCTCCATATTTGGAGATGTTAAAATGCTGACTGGATAGCTATTTACCTGGAGTGCTTTGACTGCATACTCTTGCATGGGAAAGAATGCACTGGCTGGCCCTTGTGGTTTCTTACAATTCTATGATTCTAATAGTTTAGTCTGATGCACTCATGATGAGTAGTAACTACCCAAGGGAAACAGACAATGCTAAGAGCATAGAAATACATTGTTCTTTTCGCAGCTGAAAAATGGCCATTTGCAGCATACATCAACTGCTTATCCTGGTTTTCAACAGAAAAAGTTAGCAAGAGCATTACCCTTACAAGCTTTCATCTTAAAAGAGAAGAGGACTACAGTAAAATTGTCATTTTGTATGTTGTCTCACATGGCCCTTTAAGCACTACAACACTCTTTCCTCCCAGATACATGCCATAGCAGCAGAAATAATTACAGTAATACTAAGAGGAAAGAAGAAATTGGTGAGCAGATAGCTGATGCTGGGGTAGTAGATAAAGGGCAGGGACATGTTGTTCAATGAGTTAACAATTACAGAATCTCTCTTAAGGAGAGAAAAAGGGTTCAATCATGTGTTTTTGAAAGAATTCTTTTCCATGCAAAAGTTTGTTAAAGATTCTCAATGCTTTCCCCTCAAAACAAAACTGTGTAGCTTATTCAAATACTTATTTTCCATTTTTCAGTCAACATTTCAGTTTCATGTAGCACGGCACATCTTGTTCGTACTCACTTTTTCAGGGAATAAGCATCTAACTAGAGGTCTCCAATCCTTTTTGGCATTCACAACCTGTTGTGGTGGATGTTGCAAAACATCTACACCATCCAAAGGTTGACTGGTAAGACTAAACAATAAAGAGGGGGGAGTGGAGACTATCCTAATCCAGGAATGGATGATCTGTTGCATGTGGCCCTTAGGGAGTAAAAAAAATGTCCCTAAATGCCTTCATGTGTATATGGTGATAATTTCACCAAATTTCTGGCCCACCCTGAGCCTCCTCAGGTCCAGTAGAGCCTTCAATTAAAACTAAAAGTGACATGCATTTAGAGGCAACAACATTCTGAATGTTGTTGGGAGTATAGTTGCCCTCCAAGGTCTTATCCAAACCCAAGTGAACCCATGATAATGTCTCCATTGCCCTTTGCAGTTATGTTCATCTTTTAGCTCTCCTTATTTTATTATACTCAATTCCAGTTCCCCTAATGACATCTTGAAACCATGAATTACCGGAGTCGCAATTTCTTCTTAACTTGGGTATAATCATAATGGTAAGCACGTCCTTAGAATGTATGTGTTCACATGGAGCCAGAAGCATTTATGGGAATAAAGATGAGCCTTGTCTAGAGGCCAGAACTTCACTTGAAACAGTCCCAGCTACCTCAATCTTTTAAAATAAGAATCCTCAGCAGTCAAAAGGATTCTTCCTGATCTAGGAGATATGATCTCATATTTTAAAAGAGATTATAAAGGATTATACTGAAGTATGGAAACTGAGGCAACACTGATCCTTAACTTATAGTCTAGCACCAGTAGGCTACAACATGACATATCTGCATCAACATGATTTCCTTTTTCTTTTGTTTACAAGAAAAAAAATCTGAACCATTATATTCTAAAAGTCACTCTTAACTCTGTGTTATGATCACATTTCTGATTTAGAACTGGGAATCCCAGGTATGCACCTCCAGCTACAAAGTCAGCGAAGCAATCTTTGTCCAGACAGTCTTTATTCGTTTTAGAGTTCCAAAGAATAAAATAAGAGGTTGTCAAATCATCATATAAACCAGGCTGCATTACTTAGAGAAAGAGTAGCACAAACACAAAAGAAAAATAAGTATATGTGTGCAACTAAGTTTCCTGTAAGATTATCCTTTTATTTGTTACTGCTAGAAATATTGTTAGCATTTCTGAGTTCTCAAAAAGTGTATGCTGAAATGATTTCCTCCTAGAAGCAGATGGTGTGTGGCAATTCACATATGTAGAGTACTAGCAAGTAGTAAAGTCTTGTAAGCAAAATATCACTCATGTGACATTAAAAAATTACCATCTTCAATGGGGCTTGTGCAGCCATTCAAATATTAATTAACCTACCCAGACTTGACAGAAATATGAAGACAAATTGTGTTTATACTGGACATACTGAAATCGAAAAGAAATAATGCTTTATGTATGATAAGCTTTTTGTATGATAAGCTTTATGTATGATAAGCATGTGCATGTTGGGACTGCAAGAATAAGTTATAGAAACAAGAAAAAGCCAAAATTCATAAGAAAGTTTATGGATTATTAACTTTGTAAACCAAGATCGTGGCAGTTATATTCTAAATGTATGTCACTAACTGCAGTTTCAGAAGACTCTTAACATGCAAATTATTCTAGTGTGAAACTGAAATCTGTCTACAATAAGTATTGGTTCAAAGTAACAGCCAAACTTTTTGACACCATATGAAAAACGTTTTCTTACACTTTAAAAAATTTAAATCATTTTTTCTTCATTTAAAAACTGAACACAATGTTTCTCTAATACTTTTATTACATCATTTTCTTATTTCTGTTGATGCTGTAAGCTATTTGGAGTTCTTCTAGACTGAAGAGCAATGTGCCTATTAAATATCCCAAACAAAAATTAAATCTGTACTGGAATATTTTTAATACATTTCTTTTTAAAATGTTGATCTTCACTTTGTAATAAAACACATTTAATATACATTTGAAATATATGCAAAATACAGTATTTAAAAAGCTAGTGAAGTACAGGAAAGACTATAAAATGTGTTTGGAAAAGCTGGCTTTGATTATCACACATTCAAGTGAGCCAAGTGTGTTTCGCAATACAAATTGTGTTTATACTGGACATACTGAAATCGAAAAGAAATAATGAACTAGGGAGAGAAAAACAAGCTTTATTCCAGGAAACTACTTCTGCCCTTAATAAAGTGAGCCACCAGAAGATAGTAAAGTAGTCTAAGAGCAGAATAGTATTGCAAGTAAAGGTATTTTAAAGGTACTTTGAAGGCTCAAAATACTGTAATGAATTGTTAACAAGAAAAAGAGAAGCATTTGTTGTACCTGCCTTTTTAAAAAAATAAATAAATCACAAACCCAGCATTTTTTCAATATTCATGCAGCTGGAACTTTACCTCATTTCCCGTTCTTCATGCTGTGCAATCAGATTACTGTAGAAATTCTCTAATGTCACTTTTGTCATTGTAACTCTCTCCTTGGTATGGTTGCTCATAGATGAGCAAGGTGCTGGGCCAGTCATTGCCATGGTTTCTGAAGAGGTGGAGTAAAATAATTAGAATGTAGTCTTTACATTATCCTTCAAATAAAAAGCTAAGTTACATAATGATTTAAATTGAAGACTCAAGATAATCAAAGTTATGAAAAAATGCAATATGATCACACATCATAATATGAACTAGAAACTAAAGAGAGTAGAAAACCACAATGTTACAAAATTTATTGCACAAGTCAGACTTCCTGTTTTTGTCTTTAAGTTACAAACAAGGAAGAAGAAATGTGATAACAATTATGCCCCCCAAATTACATCTAAAGGTTATATTTCATATATTAAACTACTCATATATTCAGTTCTGGTGTTTAGATTTCTACAGACATGTTAAACTTTACTTCTTGATACAATATAAACACACAGAAACATGTTACATGTTCCACTTATTTCAACAGAACTTGATTCTAAGCATTGCCAGCTTTAACAACCCAATCCCATGCAACTTCTTTTTTCAGAAGTATGTCACAAAAGTCTCAACAGAATTTAAATAAAATTTAACATTTCTTTGCAAAAGGGAAGAAATTAAGTTCCCAGCTTTTACAATGCTGCTACTGTACAACCCAACCTATTGCTTGCAATTTGGTAAAGTTACAAGTTACAAGACATGATGTGTCACTGTTTTGAAAAACTGTTTTGAAAATCTTTGGAATCTAACTAGATGTTTTTCCTCAAAATAGCTCTGCAAAATCTAGATAGATTTTTTAACAATGGAATTTAATAGGCAGCTCATACTGACATAATTCCTTGAACCCAATAATTTAAAAAGGGTCCATTCCTTTCTGAAAAAAATACATCGCATAGTACAATTTCTTTTTGTGATTCAAAGAAACCATAGATCCTTTTCAACAGCTAAAAGTTTCTGTTTCTGATAATAACGATGAAACAGAATTAAATGATGTCATTTGGTGAGCAGGAAGCAGAGTTTTCTACTATGCATGCTGGCTGACAAGGCACACAGGAGCCTGCTATCTTAAGCACATTGGGAGTTTATTCCCTCCAAAAAATCATTATTCTCAAGAGTAGAGGAAAAATCATGAATGCGATCTTACAGGTTGAGCACCCTTTATTCAGACTTCCAGAAGTGTCCATATAGTGGCTGAGACAGTGATACATTTACTTTTCAATTGTTCAATGTAACCAAATTTTGCTTCATGCACAAAATTATTAAAAACACTGTGTATAAAATTACTTTCAGGCTATGCATATAAGGTGTATATGAATCCAATAAATGAATCCAATGTTTAGAGTAGGGTTCCACCTCAAAGGTATTTTATTAGGTATTGCTACCCAAGTTATCTATCGATCTACATATACTTGGATAGCATAGGGATGAGGAGTTAACAACCCTGTGCTGTTTGTTTTGCTGTGACCTGTTCAGAAGACTTCGCCTCACTCATATATATATATAGAGAGAGAGGTACAGTTTTTATTTGTCTTTATTTGTTTGTTTGATTTCACCCTTTTTGGATTGTAAGTGTGACTGCTATTATGTACATTGTTTCCTTTTGCTGGTTACATTCTTGTCTTTTTGGTTTCTGTGTATGTATGTAATGTGACTTGATACTGTTGTGAGCCGCTCTGAATCATTGTGGAGAGGGGATGGGATATAAATTGAGTTAAATGTATTGTCGAAGGCTTTCATGGCCAGAATCACTGGGTTGTTGTAGGTTTTTTGGGCTATATGGCCATGTTCTAGAAGCATTCTCTCTTGACATTTTGCCTGCACAACCACAGACCTCACAACCTCTGAGGATGCTTGCCATAGATGCAGGCAAAACGCCAGGAGAGAATGCTTCTAGAAAATGGCCATACAGCCCGAAAAACCTACAACAACCCATAAATTAAGTTTATTATTATAAGTTTATTAAGCTTCCCTGAGTCCCCTTGGTGAAAAGGGGCAGAATATAAATAAAGCATTATATTATTATCACACTTACGAAATGTACCTGTTCCAACTAACATGCAAATTCAACTTAATAACAAACCTACAGAACCTATCTTGTTTGTAACTTGGAGACTGTCTGCATTCCAAAACCAGTCTTCTGACCCTAAGTCAGGGGTCATCAAACTTTTTAAACAGAGGGCCAGGTCACAGTCCTTCAAACTGTTGGAGGGCCAGATTATAATTTGGGGGAAAAAAAGAATGAATTCCTATGCACACTGCACATATTTTATTTGTAGTGCAATAACACTTAAAAACAGTACAATAACTAAAATGATGAACAATTTTAACAAATATAAACTTATTAGTATTTCAATGAGAAGTGTGGGCCTGCTTTTGGTTGATGAGATAGGATTGTTGTTGTATGCTTTCAAGTTGTTTCAGACTTAGGCTAACCCTGAACGGGGGCCAGGTAAATGACCTTGGAGGGCCATATCCAGCCCCCGGGGCCTTAGTCTGAGGACCCCCTGCCCTAAGTATTTCATATGGGTTTTATTCAATCTGAATGTGTGTATAAGGCAGGCATGGGCAAACTTGGGCCCTCCTCCAAATGTTTTGGACTTCAACTCCCACAATTCCTAACAGCCTCAGCCCCCTTCCTTAAGCGGCAGAGGGGGAAAAGGTAGGGGCCTGAGGCTGTTAGGAATTGTGGGAGTTGAAGTCCAAAACACTTGGAGGAGGGCCCAAGTTTACCCATGCCTGTGATATAGCCATGAAAGGATGTCACACTGAAGAGGGAGCAAGCTGGAGGGGCAAACTTTGCCCATGCCTAGTATAAGGTGTATATTTATTTATTTATTTGACTTGTATACCGCCACTCCCAATTTGGCTCGGCGGTTTACAGCAGTAGATTAAAACAATACAACCAACTTTAAAATACAATAAAAACGCGAAACAGACATAGTCCCGAGTTATTCACCCATCGAAAGCTTGTCGGAAAAGAAAGGTTTTACAGGCTTTCCGAAAAGCAAGTAGCTCTCGGATGGTTCGGGTTTCAACTGGCAAGGCATTCCATAAATAAGGGGCCACAATCGAGAAGGCTCTCTGACTAGTAGAGGACAGATGATAAGTCCGGATGTTGGGGACTTCAAGCAAATTTTGGTCCTTGGACCGAGGTAATCTCTGGGGTTGGTAGGGGGATAAATTTTATGTTGGAAGTTTTATGCTGGAGTCCCATCTTCAAGCTATCTCATTACCCTATGTAAGTATTTCAAAATAGGAAAGAAAGGGGGGGGGGAACCCTAAAATCCTACACACTTCTGTGCTTTTCATAAGAGGGATAGTCCAATATTCCACCTGTAACAACTATAGGAACTTGAAAGTTTAATTTAGATAGTTATGCATCATTGGGAACCCAGTATGAACCATCCCAAAAAGTTGTGAGAAGAGCCAAGCAGGTGTTGGGGGGGGGGGGGGGGGGGGGGAGGAAAGGAAAGAGTTGGGAGAGGACACATACACAGAAAATGGGGGGAAACACGAGCAGAGGCGAAGGCAGAGGAGCTAGGCCAGGTTGCCATGGAAACGGAGAGGAGGGGGCCCCTCGCCTGAAGGGGCAAAAGCTTTGGGGTCTGAGGAGAGAGTGAGGGAAAGCGACCCCCTGGAAGGCAGAAGAGGTGGGGACAACTTACCGGGGACCCCGCCCCTCCTAGAGCGAGGGGGTGACGGCGGCGAGGCGCGGAGCAGCCCAGGAACTGCAGGAAGTGTCTCCCTCCGGCCTGCTCTTTCAGCCCCTCGCTCTCTTCTTCTTCATCCCGCCCCAGGAAAGCGCGAGCTCGAAGCCCCGGCCCAGTGCGCATGCGCGGCGGATCTCCTTCTCCCTTTGCCTGGGTCCCATGCCCGCCCCGCTTGTGGCCCGAAGGGGCGGGGACGGCCTCCCTGCACGCGGAGGGGGGCGATGCGCATGCGCCAAGCTCTTTCCGTCTCCTTCTCTGCTCTGTAGACTTTGACGGGGTTTGGTTTACGTAGGAGGAAGTTGGGTGGGAAAGACAGAGAGTGGGCAGGTTGTATCCACGCGTAACAGAAGAATAGTTAGAATGAGAAGTAGCATATAATTCGAAATAATAACATTGTAATGTAATAATACTAATACATATAATATTAATAATGTTGTAATGTAATGTATATTACATATACTACAACTTATGATATAGTGTAATATGTTATATAATACTAATACTATAATATACTAGTAGTGTATTATATATCTTGTGGTAGAATAACATAAGCCCTTGAGTGCTCTAACTGGAGGGCAGATGTGACCAGCAGTGCTGCAGAATTTGAAGAGACACGAATTTGGAGGGTGAAAGGGCGAAACGTACCAAGAGGAAGGCAGGTCAAGCCAACCCTGACTGGGACCGCCTTCTACCTGGAAACCAATGTCCTCACTGTGGGAGAACATGCAGGTCAAGAATAGGGCTCCACAGCTACCAACGGATCCACCGCCAAGACCGCACATTTGGAGAACCATCAACCTCAAGCTATTCGGGATTGCCTTAGTAAGTATGTAAGTAAAGTAAGGTTGTTGTTGGGTTTTGTTTTGTTTTTTTTTGGTCTTGTCAGGAGCAACTTGAGAAACTGCAAGTCACTTCTGGTGTGAGAGAATTGGCTGTCTGCAAGGACATTGCCCACAAGGATGTTTTATCATCCTTGTGGGAGGCTTCTCTCATGTCCTCTCATGGGTAGCTGGAGCTGAAAGAGAGAGCTCATCTGTACGCTCTCCAGATTTGAACCTGCGACCTGTCGGTCTTCAGTCCTGCTGGCACAGGGGCTCGTAGTAAAGTAAGTAATAACATAGTACAATATAATAATATATTAATTGTATATTATATATTACATGTAATATTACTAATAATATTGCAGTACAGTGGTATATTGCAATACAGTAATATATAATGCTAACATTCTGCTAGGCTAATAATATAATATATTGTATTTATATAATATTGATAATATAATGTAATGCAATATAATACTAATAATATAATAATACTGTAATAATACTAATATATTAAATATAACAGTACTGACAATATATAATTATATACTGTTTTATTATTGTATATTTGAAGTTGTAATGTTTTTGACTGAGCTACTTTGAGTCTTCTTATGGAGAGAGAAAGTGGGATGTAAATGAATGAATAAATTCAAAATAGGTGGAATGGAAGGTAGAATAGTTAGAACAGGAATGGGCAAAATTCGGCCCTCCAGGTGTTTTGGACTTCAACTCCCACAATTTCTTACAACCGGTAGGCTGTTAGGAATTGTGGGTGTTGAAGTCCAAAACACCTGGAGGGCCGAAGTTTGCTCATGCCTGATTTACATTGTAAAATTATGCAGTTTGACTCCACTTTTAACTGCCTTAGCACAGTGCTATGCAATCCTGGTAGTTGTAGTTTGGTGAGCCACTAGCAGTTTTTAGCAGGCAAGGTGAAAGAACTTGCAACGCTTCATTTGATGCAAACCTTACACACATATTTTGAATGTAATTTAAAGAGGTGTCACACTGCATTGATTTTACAGTGTAGATGCACATCCCTTAGTGAGAAGAATTATGTATCTGAATCTTGTATCACATTAAGCAGCCCTTGGAAAAACCGGGGCAACACAATTTGCATTTTTCTGGATCCTATTACATTTAATCCTATAAATATGTTTTATACTCGACATTTCTTATCATTCTGTGCTCCAGCCAAAGTAATGAGTTCGTACCCATGAAAGCTCATGCAAAAATAAAGAGCATTTACTCTTAAGGATGTTGCCCAATTATTTTCTTTTATATTCTTCCTGCCCCTGGGAACAAGGGAGAGGCCTTTTTGGCGATGGCTCCCAGATTTTGGAAATCCCTCCCTAGAAAGGTTCCAGTGGCTCCATCCTTACTCTCCTTCTGGAAGCAGGTAAATACATTTGTGTTTCATTGCAGTTCTTTACATATTGATGACAGCTAGGGTGCCAATGCTGCATGGTTCCGTTTTGAAGATTTTTGAAGGGGTTCCATGTAGTTGTTAATGTATTTTAATGTTTAAATTTGTAATCTGTTTTACTTGCTTTTTATTCTTACGGTTTTATTATGATCTTTGTATTGTTTGTAGCATGTATTGTTTTTAATGTGTTACTATCTTCCTTGAATCTAACGATCCAGAGAAATTTCCTGATCATGTGACCTTCAATCAAAAAAACTTTTCTCAGATTAAAATATTAACATGTTACTTTCACTGTTTTCAGTGAAATTAATAGGAATGATAAAAAAATAATAAAATCATTGCTTCCTCTTAATTATACTTTTTCAGAATCACACAAATAATTTTAGGTTTGTTTACTGGGAGAAAAGTTTCACAATTCAATGAGAAGTATTGTTTTGATACAGAAATTAATACCTATTTTTTTCAAAACTTGGGGGATCAGAGCTCTGATAGTACAATTCTTACTATTATATTGCAATGCAAGAGAAAATATTGCACCATCTTTTGATAATTCCGCTTTCCATCACAACTCTCTTCTCTTGAGCTATGATGCTCAAGAGTTTTTAATCAGATGGTAGTCCACATTATTTAAACATTATGAACGGTACTGTGGAAACAACCATATGTCAGATTTATCTAATGTGGAGCTTTCCAAGCATTTCATGTTGGTGAGACACTTTTTAGACATTCATCATTTTGTGACACAGTAATTCAGTTCTATTAGCAAACCAGATATTAAACCAACCCCTTATAAGAGATATGGATGCACACACACACACACCAACACATGCTCTCTCTCTCTCTCTCTGTAATAATGAAATGTAAGGGACAAGATATCATGAAAACATTTCATGTATATTTTTAAAAATATTGTTTGTAAGATAATAACATGTCATATCCCATTCTGTTCACATGACACACACACTGAAGCGGACACACTAATGTGTTGCAACACACAGTTTGGAAAGCTCTGATGTATGTGAGATAAACCTGGCATATGCTTACATATGGTACTATAGGAATCTTCATTGTTTATCCTGCAAAGGCTAATATGATTAAGACTGACAAATCATGTATACTTCAGTACAACACACTTTGTCATTCCAGGAACCAAAAAGGGAAGTAGCTAAATTCTGTCTTGATGATCTTCTCAGATTGGCAGCAATAACAAAAAGACTGTGTAGATAATGGAAGGATGTGCCTGATGAACATAAATTTTGATACTTGCCACCGGCCTTAGTTATTATAACTCTCCTTAACTTCCTTCACAGTTTCTGTAAAGACTTTCAGTTTCTCAGCAAAGCCTTATCTCATATAACTTCTTTGGAACTGCATGTTAGTCATGCTGGTGACCTTAGACTGCCATATGTCTGTACTTCCTGATGTAGAATTTGAATTGTGTTGAAGTTTCCTAGAATTAGTCATCATAACAATTACAAACATTTTGGACTTAAATGTGACACTTAGATTAAAAATTCATGTCTGATTCTAAATCCACCTGCAGTTTGATATTACTGAGGAGATGATGATGACAGGAAATTTGTCCATAACTATGGAAGGCATTATCTTGTCTCCACTGCCAAAGCTAGAGGCACCCAATAATATTTTTGAGAATGTTTTTATCCGTAACTTTCATTCCATTTCTTTAAACACATTTATCTGGTAACAAAATATAGCCTTGCTTTATTTTTATTTAGATGGCTACAGTAAACAAAAGTACAACATTTTGATATAGTCCATGCAAATAGCATATACGATTGTATATTCCAGGAGACTGAAAATAGAAGGGTTGTTTAAGCCAAATCACTGTGTGAGATGCGATGTCTATCTATCCATCCATCCATCTATCTATCTGCATTTAAACAGTTGATTTTTACAGAGCTCTCACCATCATTGGAAGTTAAACGTTGATATTGCTGTTGATCTGGAAAACAAAGCAATATCAATACTGCATTTGTAGTTGAAGTATGTATATATACATTTAGCATTTGTTTATTTTGCTTTACTTAACCATTAGACAGATTATTATTAAATGAAATGTTTGTGCCCTTTAATACTCCTTTGGAATGTGTGATAATGGCAGTGTAGATTAATATCGACACATCAGATTTATACATTACTTTCACTGTTTTCAGTGGAACTCTCTCCTTAGTAAGGTATTTGGGATATCATTATTCAGCCCTCCCCCAAAATAGGTCCCTCAAATCTGAAATAAAGTGCAAATTGAGAAACTACTCTCCTGACCCATAACAATTAATAATACTAGATCAATTCTCCATCTGGATCACCTTCAAAGCTTTCTCAGGATTATTAAATGTGTACAGTCACAAAGCCATCAGAAAAGGACAGATAAAGTCTCCCAAAACAAGATTTCCAGCTTTATAGCTGATACATAGGCACTGCACCTGGATAATTTTATAGCTCAAACATAAGTACAGAGCCTGGGTAGCTTACTTTTTCTGATAACATCTCCCAAAGTCCCCCTAACTACATGGCTTGGATTTGCACAGGTGCCAACATGAAGCCAGTTTTGTAATTTGTTCATTGCTTATGCACTGAATGTGAGATGTGCATGATTGATATTTCTGCATGGGTATGTTGGCAAGTACAGTGTTGACATTTATTTAGCATTGCTCCTGGGCTGTAGTGAATTAACTGTGTACTCTTATGATGCCTGGTTTCATGCATTAAGAAATAAAACCAAAAATGTGGGATTGGAGGAGGAAATTAGTACAGGAGATAGGGGATCCTCCTTTTCTACCTCCACCCGACAAAACATGCAAGCACACTTTGGGTAGCATTAACTACACTGTAGCATTAATTCAGTGTGAGTTCACTTTGTCATGGCTCAATGCTATGGAGTCATGGGGGATGTAGTTTCACAAGGTCCTTAGCCACCCCTGCCAAAGAGTGCTGGTGCCTTATCAACCTGCAAATGACAGAATTCCAGAGCATTGAGGCATGGCAGTTAAAATGCTCTCACACTGTATTAATTTGACCATGTAGTTGCACCTTTTGACAGCCAGAATATATAAAACAAATGTGAAGAAGATTAAAGTAGCAATATAATAATTACAGTGCAACTCTGCTAAGCTTGGTAAATGTTTTGTAAACCTTATACTACTCAGAAGGGGAAATTCTATGCCTTGTATGTTCTGGATGCTTAAGTCAAAATGTGGAGGAAATGTCTCTTAATATTAATAAGTAGTAAATGGCACAAACAAGCATATTTTCTTTATAGTTTATAGTTGAGCTTTTTTGCTCTCCCTTAAGAGCAAACTGTGTATCTCAAATAACAGACAGAATGCAGGAGGTTAGATGAAGAGATCTATGTTTGAGCACTGAGATTTCTCTTGCCATCTTGATCTCCAGCTTGAAAGAAATCAGAAAGATCTTGCATATCCTGACTATCTTTTACATTCTTTAGATACTGTAACACATTTGTTTTCCTCATTGAACTCAAAGGTGCCTCTTCCAGCCGTCCCAGCAACAGTTGTTTTATCACATCCGATATCTCTTCCCTTCTGATATTATCATAGACATCAGCGGGGTCTTGGTTCCTTGGTGAGGTCCACATAATATGTGCTCGGGATACGTGCCCTCGGTCAGTGGCGGTATGCACTCCCATCATGGCATTGTGGAGCCACATCAGACGCTTTAATCCTTGAAGAGCTCCCCCTCTATCATTCAAGAGTTGGTGCTCTGTCACTGCTCTTTTGCTGAAATTTGAGAAGCAAATGCTGTTGAGAATTATAGAATTTTAGAGTTGGAAGAGACAACAAGGGCCATCCAGTAGTGCAGTAGTATATTCAAAGCTTCCTTGTGCACTCTATTTTCCACTAGAAATACCATACTTCTCACAGTAAAATATGAACAGAGTTACCAATACTTTTAAAAATTAGGAAATTAAGCATATAAAGGGGTAGTACTCAGCCTTACAGAAATGTCTGGCACTATCTATGTATTTGCATAAGCATTACATGGTATGCCTGGGGGCTAAACTGGAAGGACATGGACTACTATTGACCTGTATAAAATCTGATCCATGTATTCATTATTTTTAAAATAAAGGATAAAGGCAGGACATTAAATAAATAAATAAATAAATAAATAAATAAATACAACATTGATAAATACACCCAGAAACCCAATGGGAATGTGCCACTGTCTCTCAGTCACTATCTGATAACTCTTTCTCCATTTTTATCTAGAATTTAATATTTTAAGACTGCCACTTCTTCATTCAGGTCTAGAAGTGTGTTTTCCTGGCTATTACCTCATGTACAGGAATGCAGTATAAATCTGCACACACCTATCCTGGAATAGGTTTCTCTGAATGAAGAATGACCTTTCCAATATGTGTGCATAGATTGTTACTGTTTATAGGCCCCGCATCATAAATGTTAATGTCCCTTGTTAACACATCTAGATATCTTCCCAATACATAATCCAGTTAATGTTGCATGTGCTTTCAATACAACATGTATGAGAACTTTTATGAGATTGGGATCCAATCCAGGGATTGTAATCTAATCTTGAAATTAAGTAAATACTGATATTTAAGCTTAACATGGTCCTAAAACATAAAGAACCAGGCACCTCTACAACTATTTTATTTATTTATTTACCACATTTGTATACCACTTTCTCAGCCCGGAGGTGACTCAAGGCGGTTCACAGTTGGCAACAATTCGATGCATTAACAATTAAAAAATACAATTAAAACAATTATAAAATATAATTAAAACATTTAGCATATAATATAAAAACCATACAAATCCATAAAAACATAATCATCAGCATCTCCTTGCTACAGCAAATATACTTTCTGAAGCTTTTGTGCTGTCGTTTATCAGTAAATTTTGCACCCAAAAGGCAAAGCAATAAAAACAGTACATTCAAATAATCCCAGTCAGAATTGTATCTAAAATATTTCTTACTTTTCCGATTCTTGACATGTTGCAAAGCAAGCAAGCAAAAAAATGGACAAAAGTTTCACCATCGGTAGGTATCTTTGGGACAAGAACATCTTCTGTCTTGTAAACTGTTCAAGGAAATGAAATGATAGATACTGAAATACCATTGTCCTATATTCCAGTGGAATTACAAGGAATATCATTAAATCTTAACAGCAAATTAAACTAATATATTTTTTAAAGATTAATCTTTGCCATCTGATGTTAATTGTCAAACACCAAAAATTACAAATCCAGCACGTCAATGTTTATGGTCATAAAATTGCATTGTAACATTTATTTATTTTATAAAGATAACAAATTAGATATATTTAAATTTGAAGTAGTAGAACAAAATCTCATTTTAAAAACGTTCACAATCTTCCTCTTATAAATATATTTTTGTATTTTTAACCTAGGTTCAGATACTATGTGAAAATCCATGCCATAGCATGTTTCTATAAAATGATATAACTGCAAAGCATGTATTGTGATTCAGAAATGCCACTGTTTTTCAAGAAATGAGCAGGTACAGATCATATACTGAATTTAAGACACAAATTGCCAGTTCCATTTTTCAAATTCTATAATTGCATATTTTGTCCTGTATGGGATATATTTGTTACACAAAATAAATACTAAAAGAAAATAAGCCAAAAGAATATTACCCAAAAGGCACTTTTATGAAGAGTACTTACTATTTGTCTTTCAAGTAGAGTGTAGTTAAGCTGATCTGTTGGAGTCCCCTTTGTTGTTAGTGGGACTACAGTGAAACTGTAGTGCTATAACAGTGTGTGCCTCCCCAACTTCTTTTATAGTCCACACTAACAATAGAAGTGAGTGGTGCATCAATGTCTGTGACTAAGATCTTTTTATTCGTGTATGAATGAAATACGTGCTTCTCCTGAAGACCATAAATTTGGATTCATAAAGTGTGCTGCCCAGCTGGTGATTAAGGCACTGGAGCCTCCTTTATTTGAAATATTGCTCACCCTGTTGTCTCCTGTCGTTTTCATAGGATTATAAAATGGTACAATAGCAATGTGGATCAATGGTAGGACAAGAGAATGTGAGACTTTTGCTATCTGGATGTTTTAAGAAAGGATATGAACTGAAAGGAGGTTGTTATAACTGTTATCCAAAATAAGAGTATTTTTAATTACTCAAATAGTTAAGGAGACAGAATATAATAGAAGATTCATAAAATAAGTGATGTTTTGATTACAATCAGGCCTCCACATTGCAGGTTTAACTTTTGCAGATCTTATTAATTTTGGATTTGATTAATGTGTTCTTTCTAGATCAAAGTTTCTCAAACTGTCCTTCCCCAGATGTTTTGAACTTCAACTCCCACCATTCCTAACAGCTGGGAAGCTGGAAGAGCACAGTTTGAGAAACACTGCTCTAGATCCTCCAGGGAAACTATATGGTCAAATTCCAGCAAATACTGACTATAAAATAGAGGGGATGTTCTCTCACACAAAAAAACAAAGTTTTTTTTTTATTTGAGGTGGGGATTTTTAATCACTTTTGCAGGGGCCCTTCACCTATAACGCCCATAAAAGTAGAAGACCTGCTGTATTTGGACAAAAGCATTAGCTCATTTATACTAGTTTGGATATGAGAAAGCAGGTCTGTCGTGGCTCATCAGGGCTTTCTCCTGCATTCTACTTTCAGGGCCATAGCTCAGATCTTTCTATGGAAAGTAATAGCACAGAAGGTATTTTCTCTGTAGATGTGCAAAGGAGCATTCTGTCAATGAACTATATACAGCTCCTATATAATCACAGGCAAAATTATGTAATGTGTTAATTGCATAGCATGAAGCTGGACCTCTACTGTTTTCACTTACAGATAAATGTGTGGGCCCTGGTTCAGACTGGAATCACTACATGTAGGTAGAGAATTTAAGCTTTTCACATTTGTTCTTTTAAATTGGACTTGGTTAAAATAAAATAAAAGCACACTAATACCAATCTGCTTCTTCAGGGTTGTTATGTAAAAAGCATTTCCAGATTGTTATGCAATAAGCATTTCTAGAGGAAGGAACTAGTAAAACCATCCCTGAGATTTCCTTGCCTTAGAAAATCCAATTAAATGCATAGGGTTTTCATCACTCGGCAGGAAATTTGAAGTAGTCCCATTTGTCTATTTTGCAAAGGCAAAACATCCAGGGACTTCTGATTAAATTCTGTTTTGATAGAAACAATATGCTAAAAGTCCCTTTGGCTGTAGTGGCTTTAAGCGATAAACTACAGATCAATAGGAAAATGTAGCAAAAGTACATGTATAAATACATTGCTATATTGGTATAGATATTGTGTTTCTGGTAACATCTGCATTTAAAGTTAGGATTTTTAAAAGTTAGAGGCAGTTACCTAATAGCACAATTAATTCTTCCTTGTACCATCTGTTGTCTAGGATTACTTAATAGTCAATTTATTGCATTCTCTACTTTTCCTAATTTTATAATCTGGCTTTCACCTGTTAGTTTAAGAGCCACTTATGGAAAAGGTCAAAACCAGCATCCAATTAAACATTTAAACAAAGCTTGCTTAATTGGCAATCTTGTGGACACTCTTTAGTTTCCAGGATACCCATAGAACTGAAAGAAATTATGTCTGAAAATAGAACTTCCTAGATACCTCTTCTGAGACTAATAAGCACTGCCCAAAGTCAAGACTAAAACATCTGGTCTAATTGAGTGTTCACTTTTATTGTTCTTTTAATGGGCTTTAATTGAAGGACAGCTACCATTGTCATAAGAACTACAGTTGCACCCATCAGCCCAAGGGAATGTGAGCTAGAGAAAATGAAAGATGCTTACTGAATGACCATTAAAGGATTCTGTTGTGATCAAAGTCTACTGTCATGACTACTCAGTTCCATTGTGCTTTAGAAATTGCATTTAACCCAGAAGGCTTAATACTTAGTGACTGAGTGCTGTCTCCAATGTTTTCCGTCGCTATAGAAAAATGATGGATGCTTCAGACTGAGCCACTTACTTTCCAGCCAACAGCAAGTACCTAGTGGATTGCAAATATGTCTTCTGAATTAAACGTAAGAAAGTCAAAGGAGCAAAATCACCTACTTCTGGGGAAATATGTGTGTGTGTGTGGGGGGGGGGGGGAGCATAATGCATTGGGCCACCAGAATCACAGGAGTCCATGACATAGTTTTGTTTCATAGCACCTTTCTGGAGGCCTATTGCCAGTTGTAACATGAAATAGATTTGTTTTTAATTTTGCCATACCCCCTTCTCCTGGGGGAAACCTGGGAATGTAGTAAACCAATTTAATACTGTACTTATGTAGTGAACTCAGAGCAGGAGACCAGAATGGAAAGGAATAGAATGAGGGTAGTATGACTACTTAGAGATGGGGAAGCACAGGTTTAGTCAGTTAAGCGTTAAATTCAGTTAAGCATTAAATTCAGTTTACATTATTTATGTTGTTATACCTGTACTAGGTTGCCTTTGTATTTCTCATCTGTTATAAATACCTAAAGAATAAAAAGAACAAGTACTACTATGGCTACTCTCGCTCCTATTATTTCCTCCTCCTCCTCCTCTTTTCCTCTACAATAGACTCAAACAATTAAGGACAATAACAATTAAAGTGTATAATTAAAATGTTAAAAAGGAAAGTGATTTTTATTGTACTTTCTATCTTCTCTGCTCACAACCATGTAAAATTGGTATAAAATTATATATAAAATATCCTCCGTTAAAGCACTACACGATAATTTTAATATCAACTATTTGTATCTATACCTTGGGACACATCTACCTTTATGTAATACAGCCTGCTCACCACATTTGTTGGAAGTAGAACCCTTGTGAAAGTAAAAAAAAAACAAACCACAGCTTTAAAAAGGTTAGTATTTTATTTGCCTGAGGAACACTTTTTTGGAATTTCTAGATTCTCCAGCACAACTGTATGGTCAACCTCTGCTAGACACTGATCGTACAATTGCACTAGTATTCCCTCTAAGGCCCCTTCTAAACTGTCATATAATCATAAAGCAGATTATCCACATTATCTGCTTTGAAGTGGATTATATAAGGCTACATTGCCATATAATCCAGTTTAAAGCAGCTAATCTGGATGTATGTTGTGTGGAGTGGATTTATGTGAATGGAGAGAAGAACAAACCACAGATTACCTTCTACAATGCAGTCTGAGCCATGCCACATGCACAATGGAGGACCTTCTTACAGCGACACCAGAGGCACTTGAAGTGGCCAGCTTCTGGTCAAAGGAAATTTAGCATAACAAGATTTTAACTTTGTGATGTCATATATATATATATATATATATATATATATATATATATATATCAATATATATATATATCACACATACATACATACATACATACATACATACATTATAACTGTATCCTCAATTTGCTTTTGACACGATAAATAAATAAATTTAGATTTTATATTGCAGTGTAGAAGGGGCTTAAGAGAGGCATTATCTCTAAGAATCTCTAGATCTTCCAGTATATCTCTGTGGTCAACTTCCAGATGCATCATACCCAGAAGATCTAGAGATTCCTAGAGAACATTTTAATCAAATATGTGAATAATCAAATCTGTAAAAGCTAAGTCTGCAAATGCAGAGGGGCAACTGTTTTCATAAGTAGTCCAAAAGTAATGGTTTCTTTTCTCACCACTAGGTGGCAAAGTCAAGCAGTGTCACATAAGTGCTTAAAACTAAGGTCATCTACACTGCCATATAATCCAGTTTGACCTGCATTAAAATGGTCCGTGTAGACTCATATAATGCAGATCCAACTGCATTATATGAGTCTACACTGCTATATAATCCAGTTCAATGCAGTTAGCCTGCATTCTGAAACTGGATTATAAAACAGTGTAGCTGGACCACAGAAGGACCCTGTAACACCTTTGAAACTAAGTAGAAAGAAGACATTTCTAGTGTAAGCTTTCATTAACATTGTATCCACAAATGCTTATATAACAAAATGTGGCCGCCTAATAAATTGTGTTATTGATAAGTGCATAATATAGGAAAAGAGCTACTAGAATTTCAATAACTCAATATAAGCAGTGGATAGAAGCCCCATCAATTAGGCAATGGGCAATAATATTCTATATTTCTATGATGGAAGGAAAAGATGGAGATTCCCATGTATCCATAACTGTGTTAAGGGCTTATGGCAGGAAACCCTAGGGTTGGGTTAACCATTAAGCAAGATAAACACATATTTAGGACATCCAGGGAAGGGAGGGCACTACAGAAATTTCCCATTGCTGTGTTTACCATGGACCATATGCTGCAAAACCAGCTGAACCAGGTTCCACATAACGGTGTAGTGGTTAAGATAGGATTGTGGATAAGATCTGTGTCCAGGGAGCATATGCTAAACCAAATGGGCCAGGACAGAAAAACGACTCACCAGATTTAACACAAGCCACAGAGGTTTAATTCAATTTGGTTAAAAAGGAAGAAAGTACAAGAAGCATGCTCCATATAGAATGATGATAGGAGCTTCCGAAGCCAAAGGTGCAAGGAATAAAAGGTGATGATCTTAGGCAATCAAAGGTTTGGTTGTCAGTAACGAGGTTTAACAAATGCACATGGCCTGAACTGCTGTTTCTATGGGCAGCAATCTCTCAGCTTCAAGGAAACCATATAACTATACAATTTTGGGTTACCTGGGCTGACACGAGAAAGTCACCTATCTCTGCATATATATAAACAATGAACTTTCTGATTACCAGGCTTGGGAAACACCGGAGGGGATTGCCAACCTTTGTCCTGATGCATTTTATAAAGCAGTTTATACAGTGTGTGTGTGTGTTTTATATGAAATAGATACAGTATACAGAAAGATGCAAGTTATACAGAAAGTCAAGAAAAAAAATATGAGTTTGGGTTTCATAATTTTAACTGCCTTGAATGGTTGTGCTGTTTTCCCACTGGTTTTGCTGCTTATCACATCATGGTGTAATATTGTTATAGCAGTGGATTAATCCCACCTTTCCTCAACCTTATCACACAATGTCATGTGTTGTTATGTTATAGAATGGTTGGGAATTTGATTTTTAAATAATCCGTTAAAGATTTCCTTTCTCGATATGGTTCAGTTACCAGTTGGGGTGTGCATGTTTGATTGCGAAAATCATTGCATTGTGGGTGTGGTGTTCATGCTTGGGCAAGGAGGAAATGATTTCCCTAGAGGACAGCTTTGTTTCTTGGTCTGTATGTTCTATGTGTTCTTGAAACCTTTGAAATATTTTCTTACATCAATAATTTTCTGTTATAATGCATTGACAGTGTAATCCTGACCTGTTAACCTATAGAAGCCACTATTCAGAAGTCACCATTACAGTGCCCCCAAAGATCCCTCTGCTGTTTTCTTATGATATTACACACTACAGTGTCACCACTAATGTTACTGTTTATAAAATACAGTCAACCCTCTCCATTGTTTCAACCATCCATAACTTGATTTTTTTAAAAAAATCCAAAAACCAACTATTGATTTTGCTATTTTATAAAAGGGACACTATTTTATTATACCATTGAATATAATAAGACTTGAGCAACCATAGATTTTGGTATCCATAGGGGGTGCTTGAACCAAATTCCAGCAGATATTAAGGACCCACACTATTTTAATTATTATTAATTTCATATTTTCAACACAGTATTATTATAGTGCTGTGATGAAATCCTATAGATGTGTGATTATACCTTAATATTTAAAAAAATTAAAGGGAAACCAATGGTGGTACAAATGGCATTGTTGGTAATGAAGGCTTCATGGTTCAGAAAATAAAACAGCTTAAAGATAAACCAGTACTGTAACACTCTGTGAAACAAACAGGATGGTTATAATGGTGTTGGTGTGGATGAAAAAGAAAACATGCAAATCACATTATAAAACTGCAAAAATGACACAGGCATTATGTGTACACTATGTGTTAACAATCAGCTATCATTTTACATTTTATTAATGTTACGATGTTTATTTTAATTATTGTGTGAGCTTATTGTTTGATTTGGTGGTGTTTTTATCATCTGTATTGTGTTTTTTTCTGTTGTAAGCTGTCCTGAGTCCATCTAGGCAGAGGGGGTGGCATATAAATAAATTATTATTATTATTATTATTATTATTTCTATTATTATCATTGTGAATATAGCTGAAGTGACTTTCAAATGGAAAAATGTGGTATAACAAGATGGTGTGATAAAGACCTTGTTTTGGCTTTTTGTTTCATGAAAAAACTGGCAATTTAATGAAGTACTATGAGGAACCTACATCTTTAAGTTGCTAAAAGTACATTATGTGATTGGATCCTTTTTAAAAGGCTGAAAATTAATTTGAGATCTATAGTAGCCATTACAGAGAACAGTTTGATATAAATTTGAATTCATATTACTCTGTCAGCATAGAAAACTATTTACATGCCATACTTTTGGAGGCCAGTCAATTTTAAATTATAAATTGTAACTTTACATTTGGTTAGTATTGGTGTTTTAATTTTGTTCTCTCTCTCTCTCTAGAATTGTGTTTTATCTGTGTATTTTAACCATGTTGTATTCCCATCTCAAGCCACAGAGAAAATAAAAAAATCATTTAAACTTTTATGTCTTATTTGGATGAAAAGTGTGATAAATAATTAATAAACAAAAGAAAAATAAAGTACTAAGACTCAAATAACAATTGTAGGCCATCCATATATGGATTTACTGGAGGGAAGGATATTAGAGGCAAAGAATAAGTATTTTGGACACATAATGAGAAGACAGGAAAACTTGGAGAAGACAGTGATGCTGGGGAAAATGGAAGGAAAAAGGAAGAGGGGCCGACCAAGGACAAGATGGATGGATGGTATCCTTGAAGTGACTGGCTTGACTTTGAAGAAGCTGGGCCATGACCAACAGGGAGCTCTGGCATGGGCTGGTCAATGAGGTCACAAAGAGTCGGAAGCGATTGAACGAATAAACAACAACATATGGATTCAACCTGCAATTTGCAGTGTGTTGCTATAAATCATATTTGATGTTTAACTTAATGGCTATCCTATGTATGAGAGACCCCCAAAAGCCCCGTCCAGGAACTGCTCTGCTGAGTTCTTGCAAACTCAAGAACATTCTCTTTCTTGATTGAATCAATCCACTTTTAGTGCAGACTTCCTCTTTCAAAGCACCACATTAGCACATTAGCAAAGTACCCTATTAACTGTATTTGCAACTGGGTCAGACCGAGAAATTATTTCCTTAGTATAGAGCTGTGGTTTCCAAATGTAAGTTGGAAGGTTTATTCCAAGGTAGGTATATTCATTTGAATTTTATGTTTTTAAAAAGTATTTTAATGATGTTTAATCTGCTTTTAATTGTTTTTAGAAATGAATGTAAATACTTTAAATAGTTTTGTAAGTTGCCTTGTGTCCCACTCCAGTTGAAAAACATTATAAAATACAGCAAATGAATCCAGATGTTTGTCTGCCTCCTTGCTTAAGTGTCAATTATTTTTTCTGCTTACCAGAGC